AAACGGGTAAATCTTTTCCTTGGCCTATAATTTACCAAATGTATTGCACATGTTTAACGACCTAAACTACTTTGAAACAAATAAAACCAAAAAGCAAGATTATAGTTGAAAATTGCTAAATAAAATAAATTCCACGGCTATTTTTCTTGATCACGAAAAATAAACTTAAACAAACGCTTGAATATTCGGACTTATATATTTATCTACAATACCTGTGCCAAGAACTGAAAAAAATGTGTCAATTTAAAATAATAAGATTTGTTAGTTAAAATTGAAAACGGACTTTGTGGTCCATGCTGAACATTGAGGGCATTTTATGATAACTAAAATCAGAAAATTTGGAAACAAAAAAGCGCTCTTTTACTTTTAGAGCATAAACTGAGCTTACATCAACCTCCTTAAATTTCATCTTGAATCTTGAGCCAACTCTCGTTAATTGTGAGTTTCTTCTATCAAAAGACCCTCCATTATTTTCAAACATTGCAAGTTCCTAGAAATCGCAATTAAAATTTGCAATTGATTTAGAAAGTTTTTCAATCAATCCCTTGTCATCGCAAAACTAATTATTCGCAGCCTTTTAATGCCGATACCGCAGTCCCTTTGGTCGCGTTAAAATAGCTGACGGGTCCCTATTCACATTTCAGATTGAGCAACGTGTTATGCTCGCCAAATTAATTTTGCGGGAGGGGCGACGCTGGAGAATAGTTTGGTCGCTGCTCGCACTCAGACAATGAGCGGCATTAATTAATTAACGATTTGATCTTGGCAGCTTCAATGTGGAATAATTTATATTTTCTCAAAGCGCCCGGCCGAGAGAAAGAGATAGAGCTTGCACCGAAAAGTGACGCAGCGAAATTTGGCAGCACTCAGCTGACGGCTCTGATTCGCGGAAATTTCTATATTGACCGAGGTTTGGTAACGGATGCTGCAATTTTGTCTTAATAATGGATAATTAGTCCATCCGTGCCTCATTGAATTTTTTATGCAATAATTTTTTCATTGATATTTTATTTGAAAAAGTATATGTTATCAAATTTTATTTATGCTAATTTTGATATTTTATTTATAAAGTAGATAATTAATACACATATATGGGGTAATTTTATGAAATTTGATGTTAAAACAGTAAGAAATCAAATTTTTGTGCCAGTTGAGGATTAAATACTATAATTGTTAATAAATGAAATTCTTCATTAAAAAGGTGTATGTATGAAATGTTAAGTCAAAAAAATTTTGTTAGGAAAGAAATTATTTTAACAAAGAAAGCTTTCACGAACTTCTTTAATTGAAGTCTATCAAATTAACAAAAAAATTAAGTTTTCAATAATTTGTAAGATAAAACATTTTTTTTTTTAAATCAAACTTCTTGTAAGAAAGAATAATTAGCTTGCGAAGATACTAATAAATAAATACAAAAATTAGACAAAAATTACCGTCACCAGAGTAAAATAAAAATTCTGCAATAAAAATCAAAAGTCCTGGAGAATTTTCAAACTAGTCCAGAAAATGCAGAAAATCTAACAGTCGCAAAACAGGAAAAGAAAAAAGATTATTTTTATTTTACAAAAAGTTTTAAAAGTAATTTTTTTCTTATTCTCTTTAAAAATCTGAATTTGAAATTTCTACTGAACAACAGTTTAAATGGATTTACTTATCTTCTTTTACCTTCCGCTACAAGAGCTACAATTAAAATTTATTAGCAGCTCGTTGCTGACTCCATTCTGGGAGCGCGATCAAATTTGCAGATAGCGTTGAGAGTGGATCATGTATCATTACCGCTTCACATCACTTTTGCCAAGCAGACACGAGTAATTGTTGTTTCAATCTTGGGAACCAGAAATCGACTTTTTGCACGTGGGCTGCGGCCGAATTTCCACTCCAATAAAAAGTGATGTAACCTTCAATCAAGAGCCAGCGATTTGTGGGAAAAAGGTTTGAGAGCATTATTAGGTGTGATATTAATTTACACCTCGGTTTATTTTTGCACGAAAGGGATCGCTGATCAGGGCCGATTGATAATTTTTTATGGTTTTTATTCATTTTTGTCTTGTTTCATTTCAAGATGTGTTAATAGCGGTGCTTCAACAATAACACGTGTGTTTAGGCAAACAAACTGCGCGTAATTGGTGACTGGCGTGGCAATTAACCATAATTAGCGACCCGCAGTCGAGATATATAGCACCAATCAATGCAAATTGACGCTTTTTATGGTGTTTCACCAAAAAACGTTTTGAAACTTTTCGTGCTGTTCCACGTATTTATCACGTCAAGTTATTAGCCTGCAATAATTTCTGTCCAAATCAATCAAAAGCTGAATGTTATTTTTCATTGCAATTCATATTATTTTAAAAGTATTAGGAATAATTCATAATTCAACTATTTTAAAATTTTTATTCTAAAATTTTCACCGACACCGTTTTTTAAGGAAGAGCAAGATTCTATAAGTACTTTGATGATTCAATTTTTTGCAACAAATAATAATCCAATCAGCCGTTTGTTGTTAAATTTTTTTAAGAGTAAGAAGCTCGTTTTTTTCATTATGTGAGCGCCGTCTTCTGACGGTTTTTTCCAATTTTAGTTTATAAAAAAAATTAAACATAAAAAATTTTACAAAAATCTCAAAATAATCCATATCATTTAAAAAGACTTTTCAATTAAAATATAAAATTTAATTTCAATTTAAAGTTATTTAACACAATTAGCAACAGTCCTTTTCCAGAATGAATGTTGGAGCAAATTTAAATACAGAAGATTTTTTTCACTAATTCAAAAAGCGCCTAAAACATTCAAATCAAAAGTAAATTATTTGAAATATGTTAAATTTTGCAATGATTTGGATTAACCAATGAAAAGGAGCCAAATTGAATCATGAAAACATAGACAATGAGACAGTTTCGCAAGAAAAGCGCTTAGATCATCAAGGTGCGATTTGCATAAGAGTGACTCGCGGCATTTTTTACAACGCGATTTTCATCTATGCACGTTCATACATTTAAAACTCGAGCGGCAGACATAGATCATGAGAGAGACAATAAATATTTAGATTGATGCGATACGCCGCATTAACAATCGGAACACAACAATGGAGATACCTGCAAAGGGCACTCGGACAATCCGATTTTGCGCATGCACGCTTTTTAGTAGCCCCAGATTAGATTTGCATGATGCTATTGTTTGGTGATTGACATCGGAACACGCGCTACTTGCAGTGGTATTATTTTGTATTACCAAAGGTTTTGTTGGTTCGGGGCAAGTTGATTATCGCGCGTCAATCATTCCGTTAATGAATCACTTTTACGGCGGGAAACAGATGCGAAAATAATTTGCAACATTTGGGAGTTCCCTGCCGAGATTTGGTAAAGTTCACATTAATTTACTGCAAAGTGAACGTGCACGTTTGTTCAAGGATCTATCAATTCCCAAGGTGCAAAACATGTTGGTTTTTTGTTGATCGAAATTCAGAGGTGGAAAAAATAACAAAAACAAAACTGATCAGTTTTGAAGTAGTAAATATTATTGAAGTTAAAAAACAAAAACAGGAAATCCGTTCGCACGGAATGTGTTGGTGCGTCTAAATAATGATTTTTTTATTGGTTAGTGAAATATTTATTAATAAAAAATTGGAGGAAAAATTAAACAATCGATATAGTCTTGATTATTAAATTTTAATTTCAATGAAAAAAAAAATGAAAAATAAAAATCGTGTATAATTTCATGTTATGTCTGCATTGAATGGATAGTAAATTAATAAAATAAACTTATGCACTTTTAACGATCCGACTGTATTTCAATAATTTAATTTGTTAATAAAAATAAAATTATAAGGAATTTCATTCCATTTTTTTTTTAAATCAAACAAATGTCACATAGTTCATACGGTTTAACAACTTCACAACTTGTATCAGTAATCGAAGCGGAACACAATAATAAATAACTTTATTACGCTGCTGTATAAATATAAAGATATCAACCGTATCAACGGGTGCTGATTTAATTAAATGTATCTCCCGTTTATCTCTTTTTACACGCGCCACGAGCACGCGATTAATTAATCTAGGAGACATTCAGCCGGCAACCTATAATTTATTCAGATGTCTCGCTGCACAAGCAGGGTCGTCCGTCTGCCAGGCTGTCTAGGATGACCAGTCACTGGATGCGTTTTTCATGAATGAAAGAGGTCCATCGAGCAGCTGCCGGCTTATTTTACGGTCCACTGAAGCAGATGCAGCGAACCTATAATTTTTACCCGGTCGTGATTGAATTATCACCTCGTTTATCTTAATTACAGTTTAAAGGAAGCTGATTTAAAAATTCAAATCACCGATTGAACACAGCTTTAGGGTTTAAGAACATATTATTTTAGTTCATCTTATTTCAATTCAGAGAAAAGCGCGAGGTCATCAAATAAGAGATGACTTAAAAAGCCGTGATTATCGAACAAAATTTTTCCGGCAGAATCTAGATCAAGGGAGGACACAAATTCAATTACGCCTTCAGAACGTATTCAAGAGATTTCAACTCATGCACATAATTAAGCAGAGATAATGAGAAATCGGCCGGAGCCGCGTGCGAATGACGCAAGATGCATTATATGGTGATTGATCTCTGCAGCTCTCAGGCGGCCTGAGGCGAAATTTATCCTGATCGCAATTTGTGCAGCGAGAATGCCGTGATATTCATTAAATTATTATTAGTTTCAAAACACGCATCTGGCTCGAAAACAATTAAAATTACGCAAAACCCATTGATAATCGGTGACACGTCCAAACGATCGTCCGAAACCGCCGGCGAAGGTAATTAATCTCGCGTGGCGGCTTGGAATGCTTTCATCACACCAACGAACAGCACCACCTCTTCTGCCACCGAACTTCTTCCCTTCTTTCCGCGTCCCTGCGCAGACCCCACCCTTTGTTGATTCAGAAGGGACCCGCGGTGCAGCGATAGATCGCCTTTAGGCCAGGGCAGAGTGCGCGGCGCTGGGAGAAAGTATTTCCCTGTGAGTGTCCAACTATATAAAGGAACCGCACCGCTGGCATCACTATCATTCCTCAGCTTGCAATCCACAGCAGCTCAGCAAACCCACTCAAGTCACAATGGCATTCAAGGTGTGTTTCAATCAGTGGGCTTCGCAAATCGAAATTTGGATTACGCTCGCCGGATTTTGATTTTTCTAAAAATTAAATTTTTTTATCTTACTTTTTACTAAAAGGCCAATTTGTTTCGTCCACAGTTCGTCGTCTTCGCCGCCTGCGTGGCCGCCGCTTCCGCTGGCTACCTCGAAGCCCCCACCGCCTACGCTGCCGCCCCCGTGGCCTACGCCGCCGGTGTGCCCGCCATCTCCTCGGTGGCCTCCAACACCGTCCGCAACTTCGGCAACACCCAGCAGGTCAGCACCTACAGCAAGACCCTGGACACCCCCTACTCCAGCGTCCGCAAGAGCGACATCCGTGTGACCAACGACTCCCCTGCCCTGGCCTACGCCGGATACGCCGCCCCCGCTGCCTATGCCGCCCCCGCCTACACCCAGTACGCTGCTCCCGCCTACGCTCAGAGCTACGCCGCCCCCGCTTACACCTCCTACGCTGCCCCTGCCATCGCTAAGGTCGCCGCCCCCGTCGCCTATGCTGCCCCCGCTGCCTACGCCGCCCCCGCCTACACCCAGTATGCTGCCCCCGCCATCGCTAAGGTCGCCGCCCCCGTCGCCTATGCTGCCCCCGCTGCCTACGCCGCCCCCGCCTACGCCCAGTATGCTGCCCCCGCCATCGCTAAGGTCGCTGCCCCCGTCGCCTACCACGGTGCTGCTTATGCCGCCCCCGCTGCCTATGCCGCCCCCATCGCTAAGGTCGCCTCCCCTGCCCTCCTCGGCGTCGCCTACTCTGCCGCCCCCGCCGTCGCTCACATGAGCTTCAATGGTTACGGAATCAACTATGCTTACTAAGTAGTTGAGCCCCGTTTTAACCTCTTCCCTTGTGCAGAGCCTAAAGACTTTTGTACATAGACCACTGTGATCGCACTACTCGCGTAAACCTTTCCATCACATCGACATACATCCCGCATATATGTCTTCCTCACCAGAGAATTGTTACACTTTATATTCTCAATCATGTTTCGCATACGCTGAGCTGTTCTTGTTATTTCAAATGCACAATAAAATTGCCTTAATTTAATTAAAAATACTTTGCTTTTCCTTATTCCATTCAAACGAGTTCCTTATTTCCAAGAAGCCACTTTTTGGCGACAAAATTTCTATTCCAGGTCAGACCTAGGAGCGTAAAAATATTGAGCGCGGCTCATTTCACTCGCTAACCTTCTTTCCTGATCTTTCAGAGCGACTAAACTCGTTTCACACGCTCATAGTCAGTGAGAGTGATTGCATAACGAAGATTATTTGATAAAGCTCAATAGGTTAAGTTCAAATAAAATTTGAGCCCCATATATAGGTTTTGAATATTTCATATTTATAATCTTCACTAAATTGAAATGCTATTAAATAATAAATAGCGGGTGAAACATGATCCCACTGAAAAGTATTATAATATGCTAGTTAAAGCGTTTAGAAAGAATTACTTAACAAATAAAATCAGTCTGTGCTGCTATATATTACTTTGATCTTCAGGATAGGTTCCCCACATGAAAATTTTTTCTTCCATATTTTATTTAAAAAATAAAATAAACCAAACTGGCCGTTCAGCAGCATTTTTATAGCGTTTAAAAATAAACAATAATCTATGTAATAATTAAAATTTAAAAATTATTTCCTGTTGAATTATAATTTTTTTATTGTAATCAGAAAACCTGCGGCAGATATCCACAATAAAATTCGGTAAAGTAATAAATTATTCGCTTATTTGATAAAGCGCTGAAAATTCCCTTAATTTACATTTCGCGAGCGTAAATTACTCCTCGATCGGAATTTGACTGAATTTGCATAATATTACATAAATCAACCTCAGCCGTGGCAGCAGCAACTAGTGCGGCGAAAAGCCTTTCCCAAAAGCTTCCTGGAATTTGAGACATGTGAACTGCTGTAGGAGGTATATGCAGTCGTAAAAAGAACAAGTTTTTTTCAAGTAGAATTATCGCAAGTTGATTTTTTAATAAAGCGACTTTTGATTTCAATTTTTACTTACACGTCTCGTGATCACTTCAATTAACAATCCAGTGCGTGCTTTCCTGATTCGGGTTTCATGTTAAGTTCAGACATTAGTAAAACACTAATCGATCTTTCTCACATTACTGATCATGTTGCTTTTCACTTTAATAATACAAATTACTTGATCATTTGCATATATCTGTTCCCTAATTATTACTCATTCTTAGCCAATAACCGTCAGAAATCGTGTAAATTGCCTAATGTGAGGCGCGCCGATTTTAATGACGAAATTCACATTGCAAAAATTTAAAGCAACACAGAAGCCCGTTACCCCCGCGAGATGGCGACATCATGCAGCATAGCCTAATTTTTGCAAATATTTTGCAGATATATAACGTTAAAATACAAGTAGAATAACGCGCTTAAATGCTCAGATTGTACATTTTTAAATATTGCAGCTTGCATTTTGTTTTTGTTCTTCCTTATGAAAAAAAAAATATGAAGAAAGAATAAGATGAGATGACACAAGACAATGCCATGTTATGAAAAAAATAATAATAATTGAAATAATAATTAATGATATATTAACATGGGGCGCTTACTTATATTGTGATTGTGATTCGCATAATTGTTAGCCCATTTGAACCGAAGTCTTGTTGAGATTTAGACTTTTGTAATAAAAGTTGTCAGAATGGCCTGAAGGAATTTGATTCAGCGATGATTAGTTAAGATAATTTAATAGTAAGAAATTAATTGAAAAACGATTTAATTCTTAATTTGTTTTTGTGAAGACAGTAAATTGTCATTCATTGTAAAAGAAACCTTGGATTCTATCATGAGGACTTGAGACGTTTCAATTCTAGGGCAAGGGCATTTTTCTTGTATTATATTGATTAAGAGATGATTGCAGTGGAATTTTTAATCCCAATTTATGTTTTAAATTTGACAAACTAATGAAAAAGAGAGCAATAAAATAATGATTTTTCGGGATGTTTGCGAATAATTTATTACATTTTTACAGGATGGAAATGTCAATAAATAGGAATCAAGATGTGAAAACTATTTAGTAAGCGTAGTGAGCGCCGAATCCGTCGAAGCTGTAGTGGGCGACGGCGGGGGCAGCGGAGTAGGCAACTCCGAGGGCGGCGGGGTGAGCGGCGACAGCGGGGGCGGCATAAGCGGTGTGGGCAAGAGCGGGGGCGGCATAGGCACCGTGGTAGGCGACGGGGGCGGCGACCTTAGCGATGGCGGGGGCAGCGTAGGAGGTGTAGGCGGGGGCGGCGTAGGTCTGAGCATAGGCGGGGGCGGCGTACTGGGTGTAGGCGGGGGCGGCGTATCCGGCGTAGGCCAGGGCAGGGGAGTCGTTGGTCACACGGATGTCGCTCTTGCGCACGCTGGAGAAGGGGGTGTCCAGGGACTTGCTGTAGGTGCTGACCTGCTGGGTGTTGCCGAAGTTGCGGACGGTGTTGGAGGACACCGAGGAGACGGCGGGCACACCGGCGGCGTAGGCGACGGGGGCCTGGAGGAATCCAGCGTTGGCGGCGGCCAGGCAGGCGGCGAAGACGACGTACTGAAAGTTGCAATTAAATTTTAGTCAAAAATAATAAATTAATTCAAAATCGTTTTAGGAATTTGTATGTATTGCAAATAGTCCGAGTTGCGAAAATCCTGAAGGGCGTTGTCCCTTTTTGGCACAAAAACCATTATGCAATATTGCCCCGTTAAAAAAGCAGTCCGGTGAAAAGTGAAAAGGTGACCGGCGGGCTCTTTTTCAAACCAGTAAATCCAGTGGAGCGACTTACCTTGAAGGCCATTGTTGTGTGTGTTTGCGATTCAGTGAGTCAACTGATACCAACTTGGCCCAACAATTGGACTTTTATATGAAACACCTTGGTCGCTCCACCCGCGGTGGAGTAGGGTGAGAAAGCAAGACAAGGCCTATCACTGCCCTGATGGCGGTGGCAATAATGCAAACACACCTTTTTCTGCTTCCACCACTTCATTATCCTATGCGGCTGCGAGACTGGTCTCGGCCGGCAGCGAAAAACAATTGCTCGCGCGTGGTGGTAAAAACGCGTAAAAGCAGATCTTCGTATTATAATATTCATGCCGACTTAATTCCCTGGAACATTTTATTGGCAGTCGTAATATACATATGCATTTTAGCTCTCGGGAACACCTTGAACATGATATAATAACGCACCTTCAGTTATTTTCCACACATTCACGGCCCTAATCGCGTGCTTTTTGTTTGAGCTTAAAAAGGACAGAAAATACCAGAATAACTGGTATCCTTCTCAACATCCACTACGATGGCGTAGAGCAATAAAGTGATTGACTTGGTTAACAGCGCGATCGTGTTTCACTAATGGATAGTCAATTAGGCTCATCGTAAGTAAAAAATGCCATTAATGCGTGAGATTACGTAAATCAGAGGACTATAGCGATGATAATCAGTTGGAAAATTAAAAAAAAATTGTTTTTCTCCCATCCTTGCATTATTAATAATTTATTTATTACCATTACCACCCTAAGAAATTTTCATTTCTAAAAAGAAAGTGTAGACAAGAGTCTTTGTAAGTTTAAGGGAATATTGAAGAAAATAATTCATTAAGAATTGTTGGAAAAAGATTTTGAAAAAATGGCAAACAAAACTTGATTATTTTGTAAAGTTTCCTTATATTTCAAAAAATCTGTATAGATCTGTACATCGGCAAAATTGTTTGAAAGAATTGACCCAAAATTGTACTGGACTAAAATAAATTTTTTTACAACATCACTTAATATCATGTTTTATCTTTAAAACATTTATTTTAAAAGATTCCTGGTACAAAAAAAAATTATCAATCAATGGATAAAATTACAAAAAAAAAAAAAATAATAATAATCAATGTAATTTTTAATGACCAGCGGAAACGTAAAGATTAATCTTTGTATTTAATTTTTGAATATAATTATACATAAATATATATTTGGGTTTACAGTTATTTGTAAAATAAAATTTAAAATAAACATTTTAAAGGCTCGCAAATTTTTATGGAATTGGAATTGAAAAATTTTGCAAATTTTGATACCAAAGAATTTTAAATTATAACGATGCAAAAACACTTTCAAGTATTGGAAAAGTGTAAAATAATTAAAAATCAATTATAAGCAAAGGACTTAAACAAATTGCGAATTTTCTTCATTGAGACATTCCAAAATGCGTCGGCTTGCACAAGACTGGCCCCAAAGGAGTAATTGCGTTGATTGCAAGGTATGTGGTCGCGAGAGAGCAGGACAGGATCATTTATCAGTTAATTTCCATCTCCAATACACACGGTACACGTTTATTTATTACGACGAGCGCCGACGGCTAATTTGCAAATTTCTAATTTTGCAATTGCGAATCGCGGCGGATCCGCTCTCGTTTGCAGCGAGGTAAAGAGTCCAAGACTCGTCGCGCGTCGGTCTTTCTGATTTTCGCCAAAAGTGGCAGGGATGAGTCGCTCGGCCGTCTCGGTTTGTTGCTCATTTGATCGCTGACACTTTTTGCTCTCTTTCAAAGACAGCTCTCGTTGTTTTTCTGCGTGCAACCGCAAGATCGCCACACGACTGTCAATGAATGATCATTTCTTGTCGTTGAGTTTATTTATAAAACATGAAGATTAATTTATCCTTGATTTCATTCTGACCAGTTTGATTGTGTTTTGACGGAAAACGAGGTGAAAATTGAATTAGGCCAATGGAAACCAAGGCTTGGCTTTTGTAGCGAGTGATAATGACTGTGAGTGTGTCTGAGAGAAAAGACGCAATTCGGCGCTATTAAATTCAATGGCGTGACAAACACATAAAAAGAAAAAATTCTTTGGCAAGCTGAAATTTTTAAATTAATTACTGCAGCTATAACACACTCCGTTTCACATTCCTGGTATTCGATTTAATTGCTTGTTTTTGCTTATGTAATAAGTCAAATTAATAAATAATTCATGAAATTTATGAAGTTTTGAGAGCTTGTTGTCAAAAGGCTTATTTTTCATAATAACATGCCTAATAAACCACGTAATTTACGTATGAGAAAATAATCTTGATTAAAGTTTTCTGTTTCCCTTGTCCTTTATTTATTTGATCCTTCTCAAGTTTCTTTTGAATTTAAAAATTTAAGCAACAAAATTCATTTAGATAAAGAGAAATGAGATAAGTTTAAACTTAAAATAATAATAAAATTTTAAATAAAATAAAACCAACAAGGCATGCTGCTGGAGATTTCTTTTAATGATTTTGAATGGCACGATTTTGTGCCATTTTGTCCAAAATTTTTTTTTTATTTTTATTTTTTTTTTTATTCATAATATCCTACTCAATTTAAAATAGGAAAGTGAAAATAAACTTGCAGTTAAGTGGATTATTAATTAAATTAAGTTGTCACATCAGGTTTTCCATGACCAAAAAAGTAGTTTTCGACTGACTTCCTATAAGCTCAATTAATATTTTTTAAGGTTACTAAACAAAATTAAGATATTATTTCTATAAATAAAAATTTCGTAAAAACTGTGATTTCAACACTTTTTTACAATTCATCTGGAACAATTGCATAATCACTAATGCCAATTTTCAAAGACATTAATCACGTTCAATTATTACATAAATGGATTAATTTGCTAAATCCAACTCAGCTTTTCCTGGTTCTCAGCATTTTTATTTATTTATGTAAATAACACATCTATACAAGGCAAGCAATTATATTATTTATGCAGTTTCCCAATGGCAGTGCGGCAAAAAGTGGGCCAAACAAAAAGACCTGAAATTTTTACATAATCTCCCCAAAAAAAGCGTCCACGACCATCTGGAGCGTGGAAGCATCCGTCTGGCTCTAATCGTTGGGCGGAAAAAGCTGATAATTTTCATGTTCAAAATAATAATAATAATCATGGCAAATATTCGCGTGAGACGGGGGCTTATTGCTTCACTGACAAATCAGCGAGCGGGTCGGGAGAAAAGAACCCTCGACCGGACAAGTTTTGCGTTAATAAGGGACCGGCTGCTCGCGAGAGGTAGACGAGCCGCGCGCGCGTGTGTGCTGTAATTATTAAAAGCGACCCAGCCCTGGCTGTGCCCCGCTCGAATATTGTTATCCTTTAGCGCGACGAGGTGTGTTATGTGATCTTGATCCCATTTTAAAAAGTGAAAGTGCTCGCTCGGGCAACGCAAAAATTATATTGGCGAACCCTCCTCAATTTGTAGCTAATGAGCGGGCGAAGTGTTCTTTCTTTCTGCCGAACACGCAGCTCGATCGCGCCGTCTCGTTGACAATAATAAATTCTTGTGCAGATCCCACGCATCTCTGCGTTAGATATCTTTCTGCGCAACGACCGAAATTTTTATTTCTTTTACTTGCGTAACTTTTTATTCGAGCGGAAAAAATGGGACCAGGCTCTCTTTATATGCAGATTTCGTCGCGTAATTGGCGCCTAATTTCATGCAAATTGGAGATATACTGCGCCGTTTCAACTCCTAGGCGGTTCCTTTTTCCTTGATTGGGCTTCAGTTCTAGATCGCGGCAGGTGCTCGTTAATTAGAAGGAAATTCCACTTTAAAAACTCACTTGCGTACTGAGAAAAATCTTATGTTATAGAAATTTTTTGTTTTTACACAATTAAAACAAATTGTATGTGAATGGATGTGCAATAAACATTTTTAATAGCATGATTTTTATAAATTATATTATTTTTAATATTAAAATTTATTTTTAATAATACTTATAAATTCTTTTAACACATTAATTAATATGGAAATCTCTAAAAATTTTGTGCAAAATTAAATGCATATAACGAGTGGTTTTTAATTTGAAAAACTAGAACGAAATTAAAATTTCTTCGCAATCTTAGCACATGGAAATTTCTCTTATTTAGCTAAATAAAGGAATTTAAAATATTAAGAAATTAAAATAATACTTTTTCAGTTTGTCTTATATAATCATCAAAATATTTTCCAAAGCACCTAAATATATGACAATTTTCAAAGTAAAAAAAATGCTTTTAGAAAATCTGCCGTTTTCGTCTAACCTTAAAATTTTCCCTAGTAAAGAAGTCAAAGAGGAAGCAAGTCTATTTATAAACGGAAATTGTCATGAAAGAAGCAATTTTCAAATGAACATAATACTGATATAATTCAGCAAAAAAAAAAAATCTTCAAATTTATTTCAATGTTGCAACACATCTGAGAAATCATGCGCTTTTACTTTTCGTTTTCCTTTAAATTTAATTCTTGTCAATCCAATCTGAAAGGTCTCGCAATATTTATTGATGGCGCAAATTTAAATTTTAAATATAAATCCTTAAGCGGCTTCAACATTTTTGCTAAAAACGAAAGGGCTCTATTTCTTGGCAAGACAGGGCCATGGAAAACGAGCAAGTGTGTATGTCATTTGCATCGGTACTAACTTCTGAAGTAGTCGCGCCGCCTCATGCCGAAGCACATGCGAATTAATTTCAGCAACTTTCGTGTAATGTGTGACGCGTGGTTTCTTTCAAATCGACACACTTGTCCTTCGTTGGAGGGCAATTTTTATGAGTTATGCTCATTTTTTCAAATGGTAAAAAATCTCTCCTGCAGTTATGGCTGCAAAACCGCCTCTACTTCATTATTGCGATTACGAAACAATTCGGTGCGGCCGCGGCGACCTTTCTTTGCTATGCTCGTAATCGCCGAAAACCGGACTAGGCCACGAGATCAAGCACCTGAGCGCCAACATCCTCTTTCTGGCGCGCACATTTATGCAAGCTTTTAATTCTTTTCACAAATTTTAAGGACACCCAGTACTAGCCGATAAATAACTTCTAACGAAATGGATTTATTTGAAAGGCTACTTTGAAAGGCACGAACAAGATAATTACAACCTCCAACGGGCTCCCATCATCTGAAAAAAAATAGCACGAAAATGATCTGTTCTTTGTTCTTTCTCAAAAAAATTGGCCAAAGGCTCCAAATAATTACTGATAATTACCTTATTTCTTATCATAGGCGAATCTCGCTTTATATGTATAGAAGTGGGAAAATGAGAGGTCAGGGGAAAAGATGATGCGGTCGAGCCTTGAATTTTTCGCTACGCAAAACACGCAAATGTGGGAGGTGTCAGTGATAAGTTATGTAACCTGCTTGACCCCATAGATTCGGAATTGATAGCTCGAGTAACCTATAAAACTAACTTTGGTTATATTACTGGGCAAATTAAATCAGATGAATCAGATATTATTGCTACAGAAAAGATAACTTATTCGAATTTGAAACAAAATTTTGAATTAACAGTTTGGTGCAACAAATAAATGAAATGTTATTTATTTTTAACAATAAAATACTCTGAATTGAAGACATATAATGTTATGGGTTGATATTCAGAAACAGTTAAGAAAATTCCAACCAACCTTTTCAGTTTATTTTATTTTTTATTTTTAAGTTGGTAAATGTTGAGGAAAATAAATGGAATAAATAAATTCAATAAGAATTATGTCATAGTATATAATTTAATGAAAATTTAATATTTTGCATTTTTCCTCAACAGACCCAAACCTTGAATTACAGGTTTAAAGCGGACCGAAAAAACTATTCTGGTTTCTAGCAAAGGTCGGCGATGTCTAAATCTTATTAATAAGTTTTCGTCCACAAATTGAATTCCTACTTACGTCACGGATTTACTCGCTTTTAGGTCGGCGCTGCTCTTTATTAATTTTTGATTGAGTCACTCTTGGCCGGCGCGCCAATAAACAACAAAATCCAATTCAATTTCATATAATTCGCAGATTTGATTACCAATAAATCAGTTTAACGCTGAACACAAATGACTGCAGAGCCCCATTTTATCACCGGCCACTTAAAATAGAGACAAACTTTTTCCCACATGTTTGTCAACTGTGAACTTTGGCATCTATTGAAAATAATTAAACAATAAAAAAGAAACAAAAGATTGCACTCGTTCTAATGATTAATATAAACAAAAGTGAGAGGCGATCGCATCTTTTTTCTGCTGCGTGTGTGGCAAAATTTTATTTGCATTGTTGGTTGCGCAAGTAGTGGCGCGGGCTGGGAGCAAAGTGCAATGCCCACGGACTTGGAATTAACATCTCTATTTCGTGCGCGCGATTTATTTATGCATGTATTTACGGTTCCGAGTGAATGTGTGTAGAACAAAATAAAAATAATTGTTTGCAGCCGCGTCAGGGGCGTGACTCGTTTGCCACACAACGAGCCCCAGCGGTGAACACTTGGCACTCACGAAACGATTTAATTCTTTACATCCAACAATTGAGAAGATTATAATTACGGCGAATAATGGCCAGTAAAATCTGTAGGGGGCCATGACACATTTTTTTTCTACCCAAGAGCAAAAATCAAAATTAAGTATGACGCAGTTTAAATAATATCAAAATATAAGCCTAAATTATATAGACCACAATCTCAGGTCAACCGAAAAGTGATTATATTTTATTTTTATAATTTCTATCAGCTAGGGAATTAAGAAGTGGTTAAAATAAATTTTGGAAAACGTTTTAGTAATTTTACATAATCTTGAGTGAGAACTCAAAAACTATCTTCTGCAGTATTTAAATTTGTTAGAAGTGTTGTAAATATATTTAATTTGTAATAAGAAAATTAATGACAAAAAAAATTAAAATAAAACTATATTTAAAATAATATATTTTGTTATGTTGCTACTAATATTTGTTGTTAAAACTTTTCAGATATTTAAAATTACTCCATGTTCTATTTTTAAATTATAAGAATTTGTTAAGAATGGTAAAAAAGTCAATATAATATAATAAATAGCTCTCAAAATTAATTCTGGTTTGATTGCTGTAATAGTTTAGTTACCATGGCAATGAGAAAAATTTGTAAGAATAACAGAAAATGAATCGATTTAAATCAAAAAATGATTCTAAATCAATGGAAACCTACAAGAACTGTTGCAAAATTTAATCCACGACTTTGGACGAAATAGAAATTTTACGACTTTCCCAATAATAATAATAGGAGGTGCGACTCCATTTCTCACCACATAAATTTAATATATATATCACGTTTTACAGTTTTTACACGCGGCTCGTCCAAGGCGAAAAGGTCCGATTCCTTCAGTGTGATCGACCTCTGGCCGAGATGCAGTTTTTCGAGTGTGGGTCTATAAATCTGACCCGCGGAGGAAAGCGGTTTTGTGTTGCAACAGTATGTTATTCTCAAAACACTCAATAACAACACCTCGCATCCCGCCTTGTTTACACGATCGCAAGCTGCACCTGCTGAAAATTCAAGGTCTGGACCTACCTTTGTCGGCTGCACAAATTGGGCCGCACTTCTTGCAGATTCGAAGAGATAATCGCCCGAATTTCACACACAACTCACGCCGTGCCAATCTCGACGACACCCGGCTGTGCGAACGAGATGAGTTGCATCCTTGACCTTTGACCGGTTCATAGAAAGTGATTCACTCCAGTAGTGCTGGAGTCTGGATCTTGAGTGGGAAGCAATCCTGCGAATCTGTTTTATTAATAATATTATTAAATTATTTTTGCGTCTAATTTATGTAATTCTTGATATTCGATTGCTGCCTTTAAACTTTGATTTAATTTAAAATGATCATCTCATTGATCAGTATTAATTTTATTTATTATTAAATATTAATATACATAATAACAGCAGCAATCGTTTCGTGAAATTTATCTGTATAAATGGAAACTACCAACCCTTGTAAAAATGGGCAAATTTTGATAGCCATTCCATAACACCCAAGGGCTGTATAAGTTGTATCAAAATCGGCATGTCTCATTTCGAAACCATTAATTGTGAGATGCAGCAATTCACCTTAAATTTAGATTATTTCTTGATGGCAGCGCAGCAATATTCATTCTCGCGCAGCCCCATTCAATTTATGCATCCCAAGGATTTATTGCGTTACACAATGCGTGTCATGAATGTCAAGATAATGGTTTCGATTGTGTTTTGTATTAGATAATTACAGGTTAAAATTTAATTTCTCTTGCGATGGCCACAGACTCTATAAATCCATTTCTATTGTGGAAGAATGTTCAAGTAAATTGAAAAAGAAAAAATGTTCGTTTTTGTTTACTGATCTGGATGAATTCCGCAGTTTAGATTCATCTGCAAAAACAACCAGGTTGGAAAATAAACAAGTATTTTGATTTTGGCACACCTGAGCAATTTTCATAACAAACGGAGAGGAAGAAAACAAAAATGTGTAAACAAAGTTTCGCGAATTTTCCGGCAACAAGACTGACGTAGGTTTGATACTGACGAGACTTTTTAATAATATACAAAAGAAATTCTTGAATAAAAACAGCTCCATCATTTCTCAGTTCATATTTCGAAATTTTCATCAATAAAAAATCCTTCCCCAGTCTCATTAAGTTAAATATGATCAATATTTTATCTCGTTTTTATTTCCAATTATGTCTTCGTCTTTCAACTCTCTTAATTCGATTAACGTTGAGACCTGATTCATAAATCTGTCTAAATTAGCGTATAATAACTTCCATAAAAAACCAATAAAAATGCCCTCTGTGTACAGACGCAATTGCGCGTAATTGCATCCTTCACGGAGAACGAGACTGCAAAATAAAAGCAGTAATTCCGATCGGCTAAAAGAGACAATCAGGTGCAGTTGAACACTGCAATTGATTGTCCGCGTGCAAAGGACAAGGCTCTGCTCCTGCTTTCAAGGGAAATCGCTCTCGGGGACAATAAAATTTTAGCGAATTTTCTCGACGAAAAAATAAAACACCTGACCGCTCTTTTGTGCAATTCGATCCCGACACCCGACACTCCAGGTGCACTTGCTCATTTTTTACGTCGGCGAATAAAATAAGCTAGGCGGGGCGGCTGCTGCAATTATCTCGCGGCGTTTTGCCCCAGACCTTCATCTCTGCTCTCTCGCGCGCCGTAGAAAAAGCGAAAGTTGTATAACGTTGCGCCGCCTGAATTTGTCTCCGCCGCTCGGTAAGCCACCAATATCGATACGACCCATATTTTTTCATCCGTCCTTCCCCACCCTGGTAGGCGCAGGGTCCTCTATAAAAGCACCTGATGCCGCCAAAGCTCCTCATTAAATAATCCAACAAACTCCAGCCATGGCTTTCAAGGTACATACTATTTATTTTCCGCACACTTATTAATTTCAGTTATAATTTTTTAATAAAAAAATTTCCAAATTTCAGTACGTCGTCCTCGCCGCCTGTTTGGCCGTCGCCCAGGCCGGTCTCCTGGCCAACCCCGCCGTCGCCGCCGTCGGCGCCAGCCAGCAGTCCACCCTCCGCTCCCTGGACGGAAACTCCGTGGTGAGTTTTTGCTCTTGCGTGCAGGTTGCGCAACAAATGGGCCGTTCAAATATTTTGCCTTAAGCTACATCCGAACAAAAGTAGTGGAACTGACTTTGCTAATCGAGGCTGATCGTATCGCAATGAAAAATTTTTAGACAGGCCCTGTGGCCCAGTTCCAAGAATGACCTTCTGACGGAGTAAAATTTTTCACTCCTGATTAAAAATAAAAATTATTTTCAATCATTAATTAACTCTAGTGTGATAAAGGGAAATTTTTAGCTTATCTATTAAATAAATAAAAATAAAATACGTAGCTTTTCATTCTGATTGGGCCGGATTTCAATCAGTGAAAAAGTTAAAAGGGTTGAAATTTTTATAAGCATCAACTTTGTCCGATACAAGTAGATTTTACAAAGAGTGGTAGGATCAAAAAATTTAATTAAAATAAATGTTCAATGAGGAGAAATATAATTAATAATTATAAAAAAAAAAACAAATTGGGGTATACATTGAAATCCAGATTATTCTAAAATTTTTCTTTTAAATTTTTTTATTAAATATCACCCTTTTCTTTCTCAACTTCAGGTCAGCACCTACGCCAAGCAGGTCGACACCCCTTACTCTAGCGTGCGCAAGTACGACTCCCGCGTGACCAACGACGCCGTCGCCTACCACGCTGCCCCCGTCGCCTACCACGGTGCCTATGCCGCCCCCGCTGTTGCCTCTTATGCCGCCCCCGCCTACACCTCCTACGCCGCCCCCGCCATCGCTAAGGTCGCTGCCCCCGTCGCCTACCACGGTGCCTATGCCGCCCCCGCTGCCTATGCCGCCCCCGTCGCCAAGGTCGCCTCTCCCCTGCTCGGAGTTGCCTACTCCGCTGCCCCTGCTGTCGCCCACATCTCCTTCGACGGATTCGGCGCCCACTACGCCTACTAAGATGTTAATTTATTATTTGTAAATTATAAATGTGTCATTAAAATTAGCAAACCCAAAACAAACTGGTTTTCTTTTTGCCGAAATTAAAATTTAAGGTTTAGGATTAAACTTAACAAAATGTATTTTGTATGCTTTTAAAATTATTTAATTAGTTTACAAAGCAGCAGACCTTTTTTAATGGAAAATTAACTCAGTTTCTAAATTTCGCATAAAATATTGTATCTGACAAAATTTCCATTTCAAAGGATTTTGATTGAATTAGATATTAATTTTAAATTAGCTGACGAATTTCAAGATCAAGGGTTGATTGAGTGGAATCACAATGTTTCGATTCTCCGAATTGTCATGGGCACGAATTAATTAATGGTATGTATATACATACAAAATTTTGCTTCAATATCTAACTTAATAAGTCAATAAAGAGTAAGAGACCAGCCAAGACCCATGTGGAACATAAGCCCTATGATGATAAAGCTACAAAATTTCCGAAACCGGTTGGTCTCGATGGGTCTCAGGTACGACGAGGGATTATTTGTCTCTCTCTCACTTCAATAAATTACAAAAGTGAACAAAAGCACCACATTGGTTTTTCAGACTTAATTTTATGCAGCACTGACTTTTACTCAGATGAATACAACTACTATCTTCTTTTTTTATTTACTAGGGGAATGACAAAAAATAATTCAATTTTGTAATATATTTAATGTTGATTATATTGCAAGTTCCATTTTTCTACAAATTTTTTAACAATCATAATCGTTGTGATCAATTAATAAATTATAAACCGTTCTGATCATACTGACCTGAGAACTCCATTTTTACATTTCAGGCACCATAATTAACCTTTTAAAAATATAATACAAATAACAACAACATGGGAATTTATCAACAGTCCCGATAATAAGAATTTCTTATCCAAAAACATTATTTTTTTCCACTTTGACTCCCCATAATTGCATTTTCTCTTTTCTCAGTTGTATTTGTGATTAAAAATTATTACATGATATAATGCTTGACAGACATTCCCTTCGCATCTTGATTACAGTTAAAGGAAATGTATATAAAAATAACATGCTGGTACATCACCTCAAGAAAGCTCAACTGTCGGTGAACGATGACGAAATGCTGCTTCGCGTTGAGCCCTTCGAGAAGCTTTCAGCTCGAGGAATGTTGTCGATGTCACTGCTGATCATGTGGCCAAACTGACGCTCCTGCTCATCCACTTCTTTGTTGAACTGCTCTTCCAGTTTCTGAAACAATTTTTTTATTGTAAAAAAATGTAACTGAAAAATTTGTTGTAGAGACGAAGGAAGAAAACTTACTGATTAAAGAACATTGCCAGTCAAAAATAATGCACGCTTTGGAAAGGAATTAAAACGCCATTTAAAAAGTACTACAAAATTTATGATCTCTATGAAAATGGCCACGACTGACTGAACTACTAAAAAAACATGGGATTAATGATCCAGCTGCTCACCTGCTTCCTCGGTTTCAGTTGAGCCTTCCATTCCCGCAGCTCTCTATTATAGCCCTCCTCCTGGTCTTTCAACTTCACAGTTTCATGCTCCATAAGCATTTTTCCTAAATACCACAATTTAGTTTAGGATTCGTTCAAAATTATCTTTGCTTACTTTTTTCATTCTGCAAACCCTCCAGTTCTTTAATTGTAGCCTCCGATGATGCTTTCAACTCTTCCACCATGCGCTGGTGTTTCAGCTCAAATCTTTGTTGTTCGGCTCTGTACCTTTTCTTTTCATTTTCTTGGAACTAATTTCAAGAAAGAAAAAATACATAAAACTCTCACATTTAAATTAACACTTTTAACCTTCTTTATTCGATCTCTTTCTTGATCGGGATCGATCATGTGTGTGCTTATGCTGATTCGCATGGACTCCCTGAACATCATCTCGCGAGCCTTCATCTCGGTTCTTATGCGCTTCAATAGTGCCCTTTTCTCTACTGTTGGTCTCTTGGCCAGCTCTTCTTCCTTCCGTTGATTCATTCTCTTCACTTGCTCCAACTCCTTCTCATGCCGATTAAGCATCTAAGCAAAAAAAAAAAAATATCAAAAAGGTGAAATTTGGTGAAAGGTTTTAATTTTACTTGGTGTCTCTGCAAGAAAAATATGTCCTTCAGCTGCCTCTTCGCGAGTTGCTGCTTTTCGTGTATGTGTCTTTCTTCCAGTTCCCAAAGTGCAGATTCCCGTGATCGAAGAAGCTGAGATTCCAAAATCATCAATTAGTTGGTCAAAACTTAAATAGCAAATTAATTAGTCCCACCTGTTGTTTCTGTTGCAAGAATTGTCTTTCCATCAATGCAATTTTCTCCCTGTGCGAATCGCTTAATCTTCTTAATGAGGTCTCGTGGTTTTCGTTTAACCTTTCCAAAAATTGCTTTTCCTGTGAACAAATAAATTAGTAACCAATCAAACTTTTAGTTTTTTTTTTATAATTCTGACCCTTTCTGACTGCTCTGTTTCAAGTCTGTCTTTTCTGACTCGGAATGCTTGCTTTCTCGACTCCTTCGGCATCAAGTCTACTTCCTGCTTGAGTAGTCTCATCTCCGTCTTGAGACCTTCCCTGAACTGTTTGAGTTCTCTCTCCTGGTCAGCGCGAATTCTCTTTGACTGAAGGCGCAGCTCTGACTCTTGCTGCTGTTCAATTCGTTCGATTGACTGTCGCTGGCCTCTGTTGAGCGCGTCAAGGTCCGTGTCGTAGGTCCTCAGTAGGGTGGCTTTCTCTTGCTCAAAGTGCTTCTCCTGCTGCTCCCGAGCAAGCTGCGCCTTAAACGCAAGATCCTGGAACTGCTTCTGCTCATACTTTTGCAGCATCTTGAGTTCCCTGAGCTCCTGCTTCCTGAACACATGGTCATCAAAGATGAGACCATTTTCATCGTCCCCGTATATAACTTTGCTGGTGGTGGTTTCGACCACGGTGCCATCTATCTCGAACCGCCTAGTTCGCTTTCGTGTTTTCTTTTTCAGGTTCAAGAGCTGAATGTCTTCTTTCGTTCGTCGGTCTCGTTCCTGCAGTTTAGAATTAAGTAAAATAAAACAACATTAGGTGAAAAACTCACTTTAGGATATTCAGTCTTTTTAGGTCGCAAGACTACATCTTCACTATCTGGATTTTCAACGTCTTCACCTGCAGAAGTAGCAGCGGACACTTTGATGGATGGCACTGTAAGCGCAGAATCTTTGCCACTGTCCACACTTTCGGTGGTGGCAATACTTTCGACGTCAGACCTGTAGTAGATAAAGACATTTTTACTACCACCCATAAAGAGAGATACCTCGAGAATCGTGCAGCTACAAAAATTGAGGTGTATTAGAAACCTGTCAAAGTGTTGGGGCGTGGAAACTGTTGTAATATTCAGGCCATTCAGCTCCCTCTGTCTTGACTTGGCAGACTCTTTGGCTTCTCTTTCACTTTCTTTTACAACCACCACGTTGTCAACGTCAGTGCTCTCCTGAGTTGTCCCTTCGACAACCACAGACGTTGGTCTCACAATGGGATGGTCATCATCGGTGCCTAAAATTTAATTATAATTAAAACCTGTTCTGCTTAAATATCTGATTAATACCATTTTCACTCTTTCCACTGCTGCTCTGTGCAACTGATGAGATATCTGACCCTGCGTCACCGTGATGTGTGAGTGAGGATGAGCACGAACTGGAGTCTTTGACAAGCTCGTCCCCACCCTCGCCGACAGTAACAACAGAAACATGAGTCGTGTCAAGCTCATCAGGCCTGTTAATTAAATTTGAGCATAAAAATTCTAAACAAGAATCAAATACAGTACCCTTGTTTATTTTGTGTAATGAAGTCATCACTCGACTCTTCAAGTTCACCGGGAATGCTTGGATTAATTATCAGCACCTCGCTTTCATCAAGTTTCAATCCATGGCCATTTGATTGCACAAAACTGAAGGACGTGTCTGGATTTTCCAAGGATGGCAGAATAGACAATTCGTCATCGGTAGACGACTCGTTGAGAAGAGTTTTGGTATTTTCATTAGCCACAATCACAACTTCATCATTTCCAGCTAAAAAAAAAATTAAGAGAAATTTGGTGAAGTTCCATAGATAATTTTTAGAATAAAAACCTTGAGGCAAAACTGATGGCACTGGGGTTGCAGGTGTTGACACAACTACGGTTAAGGGTATCTGATCTTCCACCAAATTCGTCAGGACTGTGACGGTGGAAGTGTTATCGTTTGTATTTAGCACCAAAGGAGGCTCCACCACAACTGGTGCGGATATAATAACAACTTCACTTGTTGAGTTATTGGCCAACGATCTGGCTGGAACAATGTCTGGAGACTTTTCTTCCTCGTCTTCTTCGTCGTCATCAAATGATTCGGGCACTGGACTTGCAGTGACTTCTTCTGGTTCACTCGTTTGGATTTCATCGACAGTTTGCTCTTTGAGTTCTTGATATTCCGTGTCCACCTCTGAGGGCAGGATTGGAGGCGAAACAACCACTGGAGGGGGCGGGGCGCGACCTTTATCGCGGGATATTTTGCGTGGTGGCTCTGGTTGAGCAGGCATTGGCGGAGGCAGCGGTGGCTCAGGAATTGCCTGGAAAAATAGTTAATTTTGCAGTTTTCATGTCAAGGGAAAAAATAGTACCACTTCTTCAAGAGGCGACGGAGGAGGGGTAAGAGAATCGGGGACATTATTTTCTTCGGGAGAAGCAGAGGGGGGAGAGCTCATCTTCGGTTTCTTTGACTGAATTTGCTCTTCGTCCAATGATTCTCTCTTGGGCGCCTCTTCCCTCTCCTTAGCTGGTACTGTAATCAAGAGGCAATAAATCAATTAAGGGCCATAAAGTAGGCCACTTCAATTAAATAGACGTACGTTTCGTTTCCGCCTCCATTTTTGTTGCAGAAGAGTCATCTTCGCCAGCCTCCAGCTCCAGACGGAGATTGGGCCTGCGCGGCTCCTATTTACAAAAACAGCATTAAAGCAAAAAAGATATTTCATTTCCTAAATTTCGGAAAATGCACATTCAAACAATTAACAGGGATGAAACTAATTTTAAACAAAACGTCTAATTTTACCGTTTCTGAGAAATCCTAACATTGAAAATTCTACGCTTACAGATTGATTCAAAATAGTTAAAAACAAAAGGAACATGCCGAAAAAATGAAATTTTGAAAAGTCATGCACCATGATTGACGAGTGAAAAACAGACCACCATTACTGCCACTTACCAATTCTTTGATAATGTTTCTTTTGTTTTTTCTGTTTTCTACCTCTCTATTATTGTAAGCATGAAAAATAGTGTAAAGATTTACAAGTCGTCAAGATTTTTGATTAGAAAAGCTAGCACTCATATCGCGGCACAACATAAAATGGAATTAAACAAACCTCCTCTTCATCCTCCAACTCTTCTTCAACTACCTCAGCCTTATACTCGAGCAATAAATCACGAATGGGCTTTGAGTCCAATTTGCAGTCTATAAACGGAAGCTGAAATTCAAGGCTGTGTTAAAATTTTAAGATAAAAAAATTAATCCCGTTTTACCTTGAGCAAAGTTTCTGCAAGAGGCCGTTGGACTGGATCTTTTATAAGACACGCAGCAATGAAATCGTTAAAGTCTTTCGACCACTTGGACGGCTGATCCAATTTTGGGGGCTCTGACTTTTGGATTTTCAACAGGACTCTCATGGGAGACATTTCGTGGTTCGGTGGTTCCATCTGAGCAAACTCAATCAAGGTAATACCTAACGACCAAATATCAACCTGAGGAATAAAATGTTTAATTTTCAATTTTTTTTTTCATTTTAAAATTTCAAGTATACTTTGAAATCGTAAGGGTTGTCCCTGAACGTTTCACAGAGGACAACCTCTGGCGCCATCCAATAAGGTGTTCCGATGAAGGTGTCGTGCTTTTGGAGTGTATACTTGTTTTTTGCCGAAACACCAAAATCAGCTTGAAATGAGATAAGTCAGAAAAAAAAACACTTTGAAGGTAAATTTATTATACCTAATTTCACACCCCCGCTCATTGTCAATAAAACATTCCCAGCCTTCAAGTCTCGGTGAATAACTTTAGATTTGTGAAGAAAGTCTAGACCTCTGACCATATTTTGACACACATAGGCGATCTGCGACTCGGTCAGAGGTTTCTCCAGTTCTAACATAATTGAGTCCAGAGCACCACCATCACAGTATTCAATCAACATCTAAAGGAACAAATTGGAACTTTATAAAAGTGTTACATATTAATTTTTCAAACTTACCCATAGTTTTCCTTCAAAGAAGTAGGATTCTTGAAGGTCCACCACGTTGAAATGTTTGCATTCTGATAGAATATCAATCTCAATCATAAAGTCGGACAATTCGTCCTCGCCCTCCAAGGCACATCGCTTGGCAGCTGCGAAAGTGTCCGTGCCCTTTCTGCGAGCCTGGAAACGAAAATAAAAGTTAATATTTCACCTGAAGGTTGCTTGATATAACAATTTTCACCTTGTAGACTTTTCCAAAAGCGCCGTCTCCGAGTTCACCGACCATTTCCCACGTCTCCTCCGGGTCGATATCCATTTTGATGTTGTTGAAGACCTTCTTCTTTTTGGCATCGCTCCCACCCCCCAGGTGGAGGACCTTTTTCAGGTTGCTCAAGAAAGACATGTCGAGTGCTTTTTACTCTCTCGTTCTTGACGGAGCTCACAAAATCCCACACTTTGGCAATTATCAACTGAGCAGAATCAACAATCCGGCTGACCAGTCGAGTCCATGCTGAGCAATTTAGGGTGCACCTGCGAACAGCAAAAAGAAAACGTCTCGCAATGACGCATCAATGCGGAAAAACAGCCGTGACCTTGACACGGAGGGTGAGCGCGAGATTGTTTAAAGGTAGACAGGCGCCCATATCGGCACGCGTCTGAATGTTCGGCAGACCGCAAAAAAAGCTGACGTTCGCCAAAATGGGCACTCGAAGGGGTAAAGGGCGAGTAATTGGGTGGAAAACAAATTGAATTACATACGCCTCCCCCCGTCGGATCATCAAAGTGGCGTTGACAGAATTCGATTTTTTTCCACGCTCGCTTTCAAGAGTTTCAAGTGTTCGCTTTGCGTAATTTGAATTGTGTATTTTGTGTCACCCACATCCGCGCTGAACAACGAAAGGAAATGACACAAATGGGAAGGAGGAAACTGAAGAAGAAAAGGGCGTTTTGCCAGCAAGCGCAGCGCGTCAAAAAGAAAACACACACCGACGATCGAGCGCCGTGTGCGAGTCGCGACACCCGCCTCGCGCAAAACGATAAAAGTTTGCGGAATTCGTCAACACGTCGGTTGAGGTGACAAACAGACTGGGGCCAGATGGGAAGCCGGGTTTCAAAGCAGGGGCTTCGCGGTTCGCTCGAGACCCGAGCGAGCTGCTGCTCACGAAGGCACACAAACCACGGGTCAAAATCACGCTCAGCCTCCGCCGTCTACGCCACGATTCGCGACGAAATTCGCGCTTACTCACGTGTAATCGCCGCTGCGTGAGTCGTCGCTGACGTCTCGCGTCTTTATCAGTCAGCCTTCATAGCAATAATCCTGTGTTAACAGCGAAAATATTCTACTTTCCGATATCATTCATTTAGGGTGTAGCCATTGAACAGAGACGTATGACGAGAGCGCATGCGCACCAGCGGCCACTTCGATCGACGCACACGGCGCCAAAATGCGAATGCAATTTGCAGCCAGAGCTATTTTGCCATCGAGCACCACAATTAAAATAATTTTTTTAATTAAATTATTTATAAATTGCTGATTCATTGAAACAATCATATTGCATCTTAGATTTAACAGAATTAGTAGCCATAATAAATTTTTGTGATTATAAGTAATTTTTTTGCAATTATAAATGAAAATTAAAACTACATTTTTTATAATTATTAATTTTAATTAAAATTGAAATAATTGCTTACATTCTTGTTGTATTGTATTCAGATTTAATGCTAATTCTTACATAATTATTTAACATATTCCATTTAATTATACTTTTACCTTAAATAAAAAAGCGTGTAGGGGTGTGAAAGAAATGAAATTCTGCGTCAGTACTTTTATTCTTTGGTACTTTACTGTGCCAATAATTTGTGCCAACAATGACAAGTACACAAGTCAAACTTTTTAGAGTAATAAAGATGGAGCCGTTTTTTCTTGATCAGTTTCTCACAGATGACATGACACACGCTAGGGCATAAATATTCTCGTTTCTTGGTGGACAGTGAAGCGCCCTTCGCGCGACGTCTTCTGCGCCGTTTTGAAATCAGGAGTGTCCCTAGGTTGGATCAGTTTCACTCTTTTTTCATATAATCCACATTTTTTTTTATAGTCGCAACAGAGTTTGCCTGCATTCCGTCTCGCGCGCAAACAATATCAAAATATCTACGTTCGGACTGTCCGGCCCTACCGTCCAGCCGGACTGTGCTGACAAGAGGTAATCTTTCTCAATATATTTGTTATTATTTTTACGATACCTAAAAACTGTTAGTGGCGAGCAGACGCACTGACCTATTTTGTCTGAAGGAATTTTAGAGTTGCTTTTTTTTTTTTTTTTTATTTTTCGTAATCTTCATTTTCTTTTCCTCAATAATTTTAACGTTTCGTGAGCAAAGTACTGAGAGTAGTGACGAGTCGTCTTATTTTTTTGTAATTACCCTCGCGCATACAGCAGTGGAATGTACAAGAATAAAGATGAATAGAGAGTGTTTGGTTGCATTCTTTCATAATATCTTTCTCTCGGTCAAAGTTCTTTCTCTTTTTTCAACTAGATAAGTAACCATCCCTGCACGTTAATAATTTAATTTATAATAATTTAATTCAGACAGAGAATATTGCATCAGACATACATTTTCCCCTTTTCGTCTTGTGAGTGTGTGTCCATAATTTATATAATCAACACGACGCTCAGTTTTTTGCGCCGTCTTACCTAAATTGTACTCTAAAAAAAGGGGGGCACAACCAACTAAATGTGGGATGTTGATCAGATTGCACGTGTGATACAGGGAGCGAAATCAAAGAACACAATACATGGCGGTGGCGACGGGGAGCTAGGGAGACAACAACGTTATTATCATCTAAATAATTGATATCAACACAAATATAGCGTCAACTAATATTAACTTTTCAGTTTGTAACATTTCAATTCTTTGCTTTAATTCAATAAATATAGTTATTTTTACAAAAAATATAAGAAACATACGCGGATATGTAAAAATAAATAAAATGACACTGATCTTCACAACAATAAATTAATAAATGCCAAGTAGTCGCTTTAATACTACTTAAGTATGTGAGAGTGTACGAGTCGTAGCATCGCTTGATTTCCATTCGATAATCAATTAAAAATACAACATGGCATTTCCGCTGCGTATTGCAACAACATGAACTCTTTTTACATTTTCGTGCGGCCTCATCAGCGATAGTTGAACCGAAATGATATTTTTGTGAGGCTGCTGGTGGGAAAAGTTCGCTTACACTACCTCCCGATACTATTTTTGTAGAATTTCTCCTGGGTCGTATAGTTTTAAAATTTTTGATCTTCGTCCATTAATTAACTGCTTAATTAATTAGAATCATATATTGTTCTTTTCTAAACACTTTTGTTTTTCCATACATTAAATCACCTGCCACAGACTGCTAGAGGTACTTACAGACTCTTCTTCTTTTATTTTTTATCAAATTTATACATGTACAAGGCGCAATACCATATTAACTATAAAATACTGCGTGTTTTAGAAGTTCTTGTAATTGGAGTGACTTACATGCTTACTTATAGATTATAACTACACGTCAGTTCCATCACCCAACCAACCAACAAACAACCAATCAACCAACAAACTTCGTCGCTAAACCTGCTGCACAATTATTTTAGAATTTATTTGCTTTGGGTCGTGGAGCGCGTGGGTGAGTAAGTGAGTCTGCAGCAGTGCGGCGAGCGTCAGCAGGCGCTCTCCAGCTCTTGCTGTTGACTCTTGTGGCGGCGGCGCGCCTGACGCTCGCGGTACTCGTGGAACTCTTGCTTCATGGCCTGCACTCTCGCCTCAATGTCCTGATGCTTGGCCGAAGGGGTTAAACTAATCGAGGTGGTGCTGAGGAAGGTGTTGTACATCTCCGACTCGGAGCTCTGCCTTGGGCCTCCGGGCGACGGCGTCGGCACCGGCGTGTTGAAGTCGGCGTCAAACTCGTAGTGGTCGTCCACGCTGGCGTCTCGCCCTGCGCCGGACGAGTCAGGCGCCGGTGGGGGAGACTCGTAGGGTGGCGGGGGCCACGTGGACAGCATGTACAGCGGCAGCGGTTTCCGCAGCCACGAGGTGAGGGGCGGGGGAGGCGGTGGACGGTACGGGGGGCCCGGCAGGGGTGACCGGGAGGAACTTCCGGTTTGCTGCGAGTTGTTTTTGCTTCCGAAGCCACTGCTGCTGGAGCGGCTTTCCGGGGACAGCTCCAGAGGGGAGGGTCTCGACGGACTGGTTCTCAACTCTGGAGCCGAGCGGGCGTGCCTGAGAGCCCGTTTGTTGGCCGGTCGGACGCGGGTGGGCTTCGGAAGGAGGGCCCACTGGCCGGGCACTGGGCTGCTGGGTTGGAGGGGCCGGAAGAGAGGGGTGGTGTGGACGTGGCGTCCGGAGAGACGGTGCGGCGCCGGTTGGTGGACGTCGACGCGGACGTGCTGCCATCGGGGCGACACTTCGGCGTGGATGGCCTGCAGCGAGGGCAGTTCCTGGCGGTAGCGCTCCTGCATGGAGCGGAGAGAGCTCGCCATTTGGCTGGGGGTTGGCAGTGATACGTCTGGCATGAACATGGAGCTCGGCTGCCGCACGGAGCTGAGGTCGCTGAAGTTGTGGATGGGCCACGTGCCGGTGGTCAGAGGGCCTGGCGAGGAGGCGCGCATGGTTGGGAGGCGCGTTGAGATGGAGAGGCGGTGCCGAGGGAGAGTGTGGCTCTCGCCGGAGGCCTCGGAGCGGAGGCTGGGCGTCACGATGATGGGCCGTCGCCAGCCGGGGGGATGTTCGAGCATCTCGCGGCGTCCGGCGAAACCACCGTCGTCGCTGCTGCTGCTGGCAGAGTCGAGCACGAATCGGCCGTCAGCAGCACGGGCGATGCTGGACAAAGGGTAGACCATCTCGCGACGCACGTAGTACGCTCGTAACTCAACCTCGGAGTCGGTGGAGCGGGCGCCAAAGGGAGAGGGGGATGGGGAAAGTTTTTCAGGAGTGTGGCGGAAGCCGGAGAGGAAGAAGGCTCCGAGGCGTTTTACGGCCCCAACGGTCACAGCTGGTATTCGGCGCGAGCTAGATCTGCGAAAAAATATTTTATTTTAGAAAATTTTCAGTAAATTCAAGTTCAAAACAAAAAGAAAATAAGCAAATTTTTTACACTCACAGAGAAAAAAAATAAACAACGAAAATTAGGCAAACGATCAACATTTCTTTATTTCCAACAAAGAACTCTACTCAGAGGACCATTAATACTCCACAAAATTATAATGCGTGACTGGTAAAATGAATCTGCATAACTTTATTCGTTTCGAAGGGAAAAAACTCTCTGGGGGAGGCAACAACTTGAACTTTCAGAGTTGGAAATTATTGCTAGTCTGCAACGTTGCACAAGGTGAACGTTACAGCAATTTCCCCAGCAAAATTAGAACATAAATAACATAAAGTTGTGACAAGAACACTTAAGCTGCATGCAAATTCACAGTTATAAAGAGAGAGAGAGAATGAAAGAGGTGTACCAAGCGCAGAGTGGAGACATGGTGTGTCGCGCAAAGAGCCCACCTCAGCAGTTACCCCCGAACTCTTCACCTTTTTTCCTCCTTGCAGCAGAGAGAAAGAAATGCATACATAATAGATGTTTGCAAATGGCGGTGTGAGCAGAGAAAAGAGATTACAAATGTTAGCCAAGGAAGCTATATGATCACAATTGTGTATGTGTTTGAGATGGGGTTCTCGTGTGTGGGTGAAAAGCATGATATGAAAATCGAGCGATGGTCGTTTAAGCTGGCAGTGCTCAACGCTAAGAAAGTCACGACGTGTTTCTAATTTTGGTGTATATCCCATCAAGATAAATGAAATATTGTACATTTTTTGAGATAGCAACATTATAAGAAGCTGAGATAATATTGAGTTACTTTAGCAAAGGTGCACTAGTTGGTTATTTAATTAATTGAGTATTGCGCTCGGCCCAACTGTCTCCTGCCGTAGCCAGGGAGATGGAAGAGGGTGCCGTTTTTTGTGACGGTGCAGCACTGCATTGTTTTCTGAGCTAGTTTACCCGATGTGGCTGACGGTCCGAGCAGGCTCTGCGAGGACATGAGAAGCGAGCTGCGGCTGTGAGCTCGCCCCACTCGGGGACTTGTTGAGCAGGTGGAGGACCATCGGCTCAGCTCACCCACCGGCGGCAGGTCTCGGTATGTCAATGAATCTACCCTGACAACCCCGCTCAATGCGCCAAGGCGCTTAATCAGTTTCAAGTGTAACATGATAAGTCAGTCGTGTAATATTTCGAGGGACAAATGTGGGAATAATGACTGACGTGTGTGTAGTATCGATGGTTAGTTTGATGGTTTCTATGAAATCTTTTGTAAAAATTTATTATTTTAAAAGAATTTCCAGCAAGTTGTTGGTTAATAATTTCCTTCACCATGACTATAAAAGGGAGAACTATTTCCCATTCAGCAAAATTAGCAACTTACTTTTTCAAAGGCACTTGGCCAGCTGCTTGACCCCCATTCCTCTGGTCTGTCGTTCTGCATGCCACCATATTATACGCAGCAGAAAGAGCTGAAATTTGTTTTAGTAAAAATTAATACCTAAAATATATTTAAGTTTGATTTTTAAATATAACTTTGAATTTCTAAGTTAAACGTTACTTTTATTTTATATTTTATAATTTAACATTAAAAATACCTTTTTCTTGTTTCCTGCGTTTACGCTTATTGCAGATTTTGACGGCGCAGACAGACAGAATGATGGCCACGATGAAGAAAAGAATTCCACCCACTACTCCTGCAGTAATGGCCTTATGCTTGACTCGGGCAGGGACAGGGAATTTGACTGGTTCACTACTTTCATAGTTTTTGAGCGCATGGGCAACAACACAAATGTGGTAGGTTCGGCCGCCCACCAAATTTTTAACTGAAAATCAATAGAAAGATTTATTAGAGTAAAAAAATAAAAAATAAAAATTTTCTTTTACCTAAGTATGAGGTTTCCTCAGCTCGGATTTGACCCTTGTTCAAGACCTTCCACTGAGCATCAGTTTTATACTTAATTGTGTAATACTGGACCAAGTGTGAGCGCTCAGCTGGTGCCTGCCAGTTGATTAAGAACCCATTGCTGATCTCATTGACTGTCACGTTCCTAGGTGGGCCTGGCTTTGGACCTATGGTGAAGTAACGCACTTAAGAAGTGGTTCTTTGCTCAATTAAGGAACGTGGTTTGCAAAGAGCATTTATGGAGTCGCTAAACTCGCTACATCTTACCACATTCCTCTAAAGTAAGCAATTTGCGAAATGGAAAAAGTTTTTGGTGTGTTACATGGGCAGCAATCCACTCGGCAATTTTTGGGGCGAAATGAACGGCACAAAACTACCAACACAAACTACATAAATGACTGCGTACCTTTCGGTCTCATCACAGGAGGTATGAAAATTCCTCCATCAGAGTCAGTTGGAAAAACAATATTACTATAGTCATATATGTCTGCAAACAACAGAAAACAAAACGTTTTAAAAAAAATATTAACAAAATTCAAACATTTAAAAAATGAAAAGTGGTGCAGAAAATTAAAATTGAAACTAAAGAAATGAGAGAAATGAGGGATCGCGTGCCCATGTGCACCCTCTCGGGGCCACCATTGGGCTTACCCTCGTCAGGAGACGGAGTATTTTGCGTGTATTCAGGAGCCTGTGGGTTAACTTTACCAGTTCCAATCTTGACACCTGAGAATAGTGCGGAATGCGTTAGTTGAATGTGCGACAGAGATTCACAAGAATATGAAGTGGGTTATTAATTTTTCTCCCGACTTTAAGTTAATATTATAAAAAAAATCCTTCCTTTTTGTTGCGTAAGTTCTTTGTATTTTAAATTTTTATGATAAGCTAGCATTAATAAAACTGACCTTTGGTTTGAACTGAAATAATTTGGCTAAACATGCCATCTCCGAGCGAGTTTTTGCCCACCACCTGGAACTGGTAGTCGGTGGATGGTGTCAGCCGCTGAATGGTAATTTCAGTGCTCCCTGATGGCGTGACAGGGAATGTTGACCAGTCGCTTGCGCCAGTTTCGCGGTACCTTAAGCATGAAACATTGAAATTTAAAAAGAAAAAAGCAAGCCGGGTTGTGCAAAATTAGGGGGAGTAGCACAATGGTGTTCAGTGTGCGCGGCGGCGGCGGGTGTGAGAGGGAGTGTAAAATTACCAAATGGTGTAGTCTTGTTTGAAATCTGGCCCTCCACTGTAGCCGGGCAGCCAAGTGAGATGGACAGAAAATTCACTAGCGTTGGCTGTCAGGTTGTACGGCGCATGGGGTTGGGTTCCCTCGACCACAAGCTGCGTCGTTGTAACAATAGTAGCCACCTCATTACTTGCCACACATTGGTAGAAGCCAAAGTCGGTGCGTCTCAAATTCTCAATTGTAAGGTTCCCTCCATTCATTTTGATTCTATTGCGCTGCATGGTCTGGCCGTCCCGCTAAAAAAGTCAATTCGTCTCATGAGCAAGCCAAAAAAACACACTCGGCGGATGTAGATGGACTTACCCTAGACCACTGGATCACTGGTTTTTGAGTACCCTCGGCTTCCTGCGCCTCGCACACCATCTCGACGCTCTCCCCCAATTTGCGCTGGTAGAGAGACTCTGGCTCCAGTGTAAACACGGGCGGCTTTCGCACAAGCACTTCCATGGGTCCCGACGATCCTTGAGTGCCTTGAGCATTGTAGGGGGTGCAAGTGTATCTCCCTTGGTGGTTCTCGTTCACCTAAGACAGCAAGAGAGCGAGCGAGCGGCGCATTAGCGCATTTTGTAATTATTTCTGCGCGCGCGACAGGAACCCTTATTAAATGCGGGCGGGCCTCAATTTTGGGAGAGCTGCGTCGACATGCAAAGCAAACAAAGAAGCTCCCTTTTTGGCGGAGACCCGCGTTGCCCCTAATTTTAAACCTCCTAAATTTTTCAAAAATTATTTACCCTGAAATATTTGTCCTAAATTATTTTTTCATTTCACATAAAATGCATTGATCCAAAAATGTATTTAAAATGGTAAAAAAATTACCATTCATTAAAAGGTAACTAGAAATGATCAGAATGGTCTGCGGCCATTTTTTTTTTTTTTTTTACTTTTAGAGCAAATATTTTTAGGACTTTATTTTTAGGGCATTGGTCTTTAGGGCCAATGAAGATTTTGGTTTTAGGATAAATGAATTTAGGAGCAATAACGGTGATTCCTTTTTGGTTAACAGGCGAATATATATCAAATTAGGGAGAGCGCTCTGCTCCGACATCAAAAGGGCCCACTATGAAAAATCGTGATGTTGTTGTGCAAGAAGATGAATGAATTGTTGAAGCAGCTTGAGAGCTGATTACTGAATGGAACTGAGCCTCCTTCCTCTAAATTAAAAAAAGCTGCTGCGTATGTTTGAGAGGGGGAGCGTAAACAAATTTTAAGAACACGAGAGTCGCTCGGAGAACATTAATTCTGAATCTTGGCTCCCTTACACAGTGCACTAAATAAGCCGAGAAATTGTTTAATTATAAAATGTAAATTGGTTATTCCGTGGACGAGATCGCCGCCGGAGATGCGAGAGGGCACATCTAATTTGAATTTCAAATATCAGAATAGTACTTAAACGGTCGCCGGTTGAAAAATGACCTCGGCGAAAATGCAAAATCGCACAAAAAGCGGCGGATACAAAACAAACTCACCCTTGTGAAGAGGAGCGAACCATTATTCATGATGACAATGTCCTTGGTTTGATATGGCTCCAAAAGTCGTTTGTCTTTGGTCCACGTGACGTACTGCAAGGGCGGATTGGCCTTTATGTAGCACTGCACCACCCCCGCCAGCCGGAACGGCAAATATTGAATGGTGGGCGTGAACGTGACTTTGGCCGGGTCTGCAAAATTCAATTGACCACTTTAAGCACACCAGCCAGCAAAAAAAGAAAAAAAGGGCGGCTCGTAATAAAAAAAATATGCATGAGCCGCCCTAAACAAACTGGCCAAGAGAAGAACGGAAGGAGAGACTTACACTCGACGTTGAGGTACGCAGCGGCGGCCTGCGGCTCGCCGATGCCGTTGGTGACCTCGCAGGTGTACTGTCCAGAGTCATCGGCGCTGACTGGGTTGACGATGAGGGAGCCATCCCTGCGGACGGTGACCCTGGTCTCGAGGGAACTCACCTCCTTGACAGGGACGCCCTCGCGGTACCACTTCACGGTGACATTGCCGGGAAGGGCTTTGGCCTCGCACGAGAACTGCGCCTTCTCGCCCTCGAGTTTGGTCTGGTTGGTGGGCGGAACCATGATGACGGCGCCCCCTGCGGTCAGACAGCCACATTGAGCACCACACTTTCGAGGCGGGCGCAGGTGAGGGATGCAAAATTAAACACCAGACAGACTCCACCTTTCAACTCATAAACTAAACGTGGCATGCGAGTTGAGGTTCTAAGAGCGCAGAAGTTTGTAAGGGTTTTTAGCAAAAAGCGGCTGCTGAGTTGCTGCGGAGGGTGAGAAGAACGGAGATTGGGATCGAGTGTTTTGTCATCAGCAACACTGTCAAGTACTTTTTTTGAAGTAATTTATACAGTGAACTGGCTTTTTTTTTAGTCTTTTGTTTAAAAGCCTCTCCTGGATATTGGTACGAGATTTTGTAAATGCACCAACGTACTGTTTCGAAAAAAAGAGAAATACAGGATAAAATTGATATATATGTATGTAGATCAAAATACACAAGCTCAAATGATAAAGAAAACATGATAGTAGCAGAGAAGCCAAATGAACTGAGAAAACCAAGGTGAAAGTGTGCAAATTCATACAGTATACGTTATTCCATGTAGGACAGTTCCAAAATAAAGGCAATTTTGGAACTCCCATGCCCTCAATGGGAGCGCAGACGAGGATTTTCGATTGAAAACCCCTAAACAGCAACTACAGAGTATCAGTTAGTAACATGCCAGTCACCAGGAGAACTCCAAATTGATAATTTTTTTAGTAAAATTATTGCTCTTTAGTCACTCGGGATTGGAGTAGTTTATGATGAGAATGGTTATAGTGGGCAAGGCAGAAGTGCGCCAGTCGCCAAATTTTATCATTGGCTGCTCAACAAGCGTCATATCGAGAAGGTCACCGAAAGGTCAATAATAATTAAGTCACCAAAAATCTGGTTGTGTCAATGTAAGAGGTTTCTAACAATACAACAGTATAATGTTTATGGTATGGTAGGAAATTTCGTAGAGATAGACAGAGAGAGATAGAGAGAAATAGGAAAAGTAAACAAAAATAGTAAAAATCAACAAACAGCAAACAAACATTTGACCCACCGGCAATGATCACTCGGGCAGTATGGCTAATCTGACCCTCGCCATTCCGCGCTATACAAGTGTAGTCTCCAATATCCTCGTGTCTGATATTGGAGATACGCAGTTCAGTTCCATCATTAAAGATGCCAGTGGTGGCAGAGGGCTCCACCGGATTCTGATCTTTGTACCACAGAATTTCAGGCGTCGGGGTACCCTCGGCCTGGCAGTTTAGAATTATCGAATCCCCCAGGTTAACATAAATTATATCCTCTGGGGTAATACCAAAACGTGGGGGCGCTGAAACAGGCAGAGAGAGTAAAAGAGGTCAGCTCTGGTCGGATCTTACAATTAATGTTCAAGCGGCATCGGCTAGCAGGTCAAAAAACAATATGGACCTCGCAGGTGGCAAATTTTCATTACATTCCTCTGATTGTTGGTGGAAGAGAAAAATCATAAAATTTACTTAAAAACTGTGGGGTTTAGAAAATTGTATGTTATTTTCCGCCTCATTGCGCAGAAAGTATTTTTACAATCCCTCGTTTTGCATGTAAATTTGTTTTTGTTATTTGTCGCATGTAAATCGCGCGCGAATTTCGGATGATAAGTGAACCGCCGTACGAGAGATAACACACAATCAGAAGCAAATGAACTGACAAGTGAGCTGCCTTCAGAGTCCATATCGCCGTTTGGCCTGCCATCAATTGCTGATCAAATTACCATGGACATCAAGGTGAAACCACGTGCCGTTCTTGTGCGAGTTAGGCGAACGGTTAAGGAACACGACTTTGCACTCATACCAACCCTGGTCCGACTCGCGGATATTAGTGAGATTGAGCGAGGCGAGCCCATATGGAGAATCCGAGGCCACTCTACTCACGCGGCCCTCGTAGCCCTCGCCGCTGTGTGTCGGGTAGCTGTCGTACCAGATGTAGATCGGTATCTCCAGTCCCTGAAGCAGATTCAACCAAAGGACAACGTAATAAGCAGCTCTCGAGTTCCAAAGCGGGCGCCACACCACAGGGTGAAAATCGCCCTCTTGAAAGCCATTCAGGTCTCATTCACCCGTCCATGCTCTCTTTCACGGTGTACGGAGAATTCTTCCATGAAGAGTTTTCCACACCCGTTTGGAGAGTTGTTCTATGCACCACATGACATGACATGTGATATGCGGCAACTTGTTCCACATGTGAAAATTTTGAGTTCAGGCTTGGCATAGATCATAAGATTTATTTTTAATGCTTTAAAAAAAATTATTGAACTAGTAACCAAATTAATAAAAACTAGGCATTAAAATTTCCAACAACGCCTAATTTTTTTTTCATAAAATTTAACTCCAGATAATAAAAAAAAAAAAAAAAAAAAAAAAAAAAAAACTAGGAAATTTAGAAACTCCAATGCTCAATTTCAAAATATTACTAAATAATTTCAAGGAAATAAAAAAATGTAAAATGTAACAATACAATTTGTTTTGGTCTTTTGCGTTGGACTATATAAGTGGCAAATATGTAAGATAATATTTTAAATTTAAGAAATTATTTTCTGCATTGGTCAAAAATTGTTTAAAATTTCCAATTGAAGATCAACTTATTGTTAAAATCTGAATTTAACACAAAAAATTATTGAAAAATTGGATAAGAGAGCCAAAACAAAAAATTCCAACCATGTTTAGGAATTTATTAACCTTTTTCGATCATTTACGAGAAAAATTAAATAAAACCGAAGCAGTAAAAATTGATTTAAATCAGATTAAAATAAATCAAAATTTATATCTGTATAATTAAATTTTAACTCGCGTGGAACAAGTCACCGCGTATCACGTTGTATTTCAAGTGATGCATGGAACAACTTTCCAAACGGCTGTGGAATAACTCTCCATGGAACAATTCTCCTATACAATTCTCTTTCACGCTTCACCACTCGCGCAATTTTTGTGTGTTTAGGATGGGAAAGATCAGGAAAACGCCTCGTTTTCAGAAAAAGTTAACAACTCGGAACGTTACAATGGCAAATTGAGATTTAAAACGGGACTGATTATTTAAATTCGCTTTGCTCTTTAAATACTGATGTTGCTTTTGTGTATCATGTTCATGTGATTCTTTGTGTTTCAGCGGTGTATAAATATTTGTAGGAAAAAACACATTCAGAGATATATACTTGAGCGAAAAAGATTGCTTTCAGCGAAGTATAGAGAAAAAACAAACACGGTGTGACAAGATCACACATGTGAAATGAGACATCACGAAAACGTCAACACTGACAAATTGGTCACACATTTATGTACAAAAGTTGCTGGAATCAAAACTCCAATCATGTGAATCTAATTCGCGCATGTCAATCGCAACGTCGCTTCGTTTTGATCAGTGATTTGGATCGGAATTGAAATCAATTAATATTTCATTGGTGTGTGGCAGAATGGATTAGTTTGAAAATCTGAAAACAGAACAATTAAATACTATAGGGACAAAAGAGTGTTTTGTTAATCGAAAATTCGCAGACGTCTTTTGCACGTCGGCGGATAACAAATTACGGTATTCGAAACCATTTTGTCCCTTTTGAAACAACGAGCATGCAGAACATCTATTTGGTCCACTGGACTATGTGAAAAGAGAGCGAATGGAAAAAAGCGCACGCGAAATAAACAGTTCTACACGAATGTATATAAAAATATGTGAGCGCACGTCACAAAGAAGAAGAAATATACTATTGGAATCGATCCGCTTTTCCTTTAAAAGATATGTATGTGAAACAAAATATAAACTGGCATTGTATTATATATATTATATAAATGCACACACCCAAAAGTTGAACCAACGTATAAGATTGATCATCGCTCCTTCCTCCCTTCTTTTTTCGTTTCAGCAAGAAGAAATGTTCCATAACTTGGACACACTCATCAAACACACTCACACACACAGCTCTGCTTCCAAAAGCACGTCTGCTGTGGACACAAACTAGTGCCAACTAAATATCAACATGCGGATCAATAAAGAGCGAACACTATTTGCACGGAGAGAGTTTGAACTCCTCCTCGCTAAGCGCTAGGTGAACCACAATCAACAATACACAGATAGAGAGAGAGAAAGGGTGCGAACTCACACTCACACACACATACATATAATGTAACAAGGGCTTGCCGCAGGGCATAATTAAAACGAAAATCGTGTCTAATCTAATTAAAAAGTTGGCCAGCTGAATCCGTGGCGGTGGTGGTAGTGAACGTGAACACATACATATATACACAGGCAACATCCAACATTAAAGAGCATGCGTTATAATATTTGTCAGTGATATAATGAGTTTGCGATTGTAAAACCTCTTTCAGCCACAGAGAGAGAGTAATATTTACAGAGAACTCATTTCGATGTTTGCACTAGCAGAATTCGCAGTTGATTATTGTAGTGGTACAACACACACAGAGTTTAGTATATTGAGAGAGTGATGTTAAATTTAATTATCTCCAGTTAGATAATATTTATCATATACACACGCAGAAATGATATGCTGTTTGGCAGTGCTAACAATGAAATAATGAATGAGGCGTCGTTTCTGTATATAATTACTAAATTAACAGTAATCTAATTCCACTTTTGCTGTCAACACTGACAATTTATGCTAATTATTTCGCGCTAATTGAAATAGACAGTGAAAGTCAAAATCGTCATGAGTCACGCTTAATCGGACCAGACCTCTTGGAACTGCAACTTTATATTTACATTATAATAAAATCACAAAAGCAATTAGTGCCGTAGGAAATTAATAAATTGCGTCTTGAAAAAAACAAGTACTATTAAAAAATTAACTGTACTGCAAAAACACATAAAAATCAGTGTTCATTAACTCTAATGAATGTAAGCTGCATGTCTTGCAGCAAGATATTTTTTCATGGTATGTATATATTCATTAATAATTAATAAAAGTAGTGAGCAAAAATACACAAGTGCAAGATGCTTTGTATAAAGTATGTTGAATATAAAAGCGGCAATGACAAGACGAACAATTGCAGATGCAGCACGAGAGATATATATATATATAAATTGGTAATTGAACTGTCTTTGGAATGTGTACTTGATGTATAAATGGAGTGGCATTGTACATAGGTCTGCAGATTGGTGTGGTACATTAGAGTGGAGTGTGTGTGTGTGTGTGTGTCTTGTGTGTTAGATAGAGTCGTATGTATTATAGAGAGTGGCGTGTGAAATGAGGTGCGATGCGTTTGATGGTGTCGTGTCTGATGGAGGGCGGGGGCTCTGTTTGCAATTTCTCTCTCTAAGGACTCGTCCCGCTGGTCTGTAACTGTGGCTGTACGAGGCGGGGGCAAGTCAAGGATTTCTGCGACCCCCACGGTGGCCTCCTTCCCCAGCCAGGGGGCGGCCACCCTGGGGGCTCTCGGTCCTATTATCTTTTGCACCAGACAGAATAACGGACGGATTTATAAATAGCTGCTGCTGCTGTTTTTTTTTTTTATTATTATTTTTTCCCCTCATTTTTTTTTTACTGCAGATATAGAATAATGCGTACCCCTGATTATGAGCTGAGCAAGCATTCGAGTATATATATTTGAGTATAGTGTGACCGTGTAAAGTACATGATATGAGCTCCAATTCTACTGTACTGACTGCACCATGCCGACGGCACTGATACTGCTTCGCAAATGAGCATCACCAGCAATACAAGAAGAAGCAATATCAGTGCCGAGTGGGGGCTCCAAAATGCGGTTTGTTGCAATCAAAATTCGACTCGTTCAAATAATCAGCTTAGAGATACTTAAACTCACTTACTCAAAATTAATATTATGCGACTACGGCCCTGTTGCTGTTTCGCCATCAAGTGCCAAACAGGAACAGGCGCGTGCAAAATTCTCTCCGACAATGAAATACAGAATGAATGCAGCCCTGACGAATTTGTGCCGATCAATATGAAATATACATCATATTTTGATAATATTGCAGCGTGCAGTTCACAATCATTAAGTTGAATGCAAGGAGTTTGAAACCATGGAGGTAATGCGCAATGCTGAAAGCTTCGACCTGTTTTTAACACCCGCGCCCCCCTAGTTTAGAAAGCCAGCTCTGATGCTGCGCGGGTAGCATACAAGGCTAGGGGCTATTGAGAAGACTTAACTTAGAGTTGAGCGTGCTAATATTAATAAAATTACAATTATTAAGCAAAATTTTGATTAAAAATTCGTAATATTAAACATCAAACTATTAATCATTTAATGAATATGATAAAATATTGTAAAATGGGGCTGTCTATTTGATTATTCTGCAGATAAAAAAGACCCACCGAGATTTTTTATTTAAAAGGCCTAGGTGTAAATGTGATTATTAAATAAATTTTTAAAGCAATAAGATTAATAAATTGCTTGCGATGAAAAATTAGTTCTTTCAAGAAAAAAACGAAAATGAATTTAAAAAAAATTAACAGGAGAATTTTTCACTCCTTCTTTTGCTTTTTTCTTGACTTTTAGGACCTGTTTGTTTACCTCTTTTCACTGTTGGCAAAAACAACTGATATTTTCAGGATTTTTCTAAAAAAGCGTGTTCCCCCAATAGTACAAAAGTAAATCATATTTTTAAAATGCTGTGATCGTTAAAAAAAATTACGCCCTATTTAAAAAGTGTATTATTGGGGTGCAAGAATTTGACAATTTCCTAATTCTTGATTGGTATGAGTTTGGGGAAGAAAAATTTAGCTTTTCTTCCGCCAGGCATTGCCTCCATGGTTCCTAACTCTTTGGTTGAATGCCTCACCAGTAGCAATGACATCTTCCCGAAAAAAAATCACGAGGTCAAAAGTGCCGAACGCAGAGGAACTCCACTTGGTTTGGACAATTTTGATTGGAGCGTCTCTGCGGGCACTTTTGAAACTCGGAGGTAAGTTAATCATCGCGGGCCGGCAGCAGAGAACGAATTTCATTCAAACTTTTCTTTCCTCCTTTTATGTTTGCCGACACAAAGAGCGGAGGATGCAATGAAATTTACTCGCAAACTTTTTCCATATACGTTGAGGCCGTAAAAATCTTGCGCGGTGCTCAAACTTTGGTGTTTGTTTGCGGGTATGAAATTTAAGCCTCGGAGGAGAGATGTCATTGGCTAATGGTTGGCGTCATTAGTGCAGCGCATTGTCCCTTTCTGTCCCAGTTACAAAAGAAATAGCCACTCAAGACTGATAATAGCTACGACGCGCCGTCCCACGTATGTACTGAGACCGGCGCGCCCCTACAATCGTATAATAATCAAGGGGGTTGAGATTGGATAAAAGAGTTTTGTGTCCTACCGTGTCGCCTACCTTCTTCTCCCATTGTAACACATACGGGACCGGGTGGTCACCTGGGAATTCGACGTGGCAGTTGAACACCACCGACTCTCCAAGGATTGCAGTGATGTGTACTGCATCTTGGAAACATTTGACGCCTGAAAACAGATTTCAGCTTTGTTTGCATGCCAAAGAGAGCAGAGTGGAACACAAAATAGAGAAGCACACGTTTTTATTTTCTGATTTATTCTGATATTATGTATTTATATTCGCTTTTCCGTTCTTTTTCTCTTTATTTTTCTTTCTTTTGGGCTGGCGCACGGGCGGGCGGTACCGCCGATGCATATAAGACTCTCAATGTTGCTCGTGCACGTATACACGTATGCATTTATATATATACAATGTATATCGCTCCCCGAGCTGGGCATAATAGGTGTCTAATTCAGTTGGCACTTTTGGGAAATGAGACTTGGCCAATCGCTGCTTGGTTACACAGCATACACGCTCGGTCACGACGACGGTATTATATATAATAGAGTTCATCTATGTGTGTTATCATAATGTATTTTCTCGTATCTAAATGAGGGCATGGAAGTCAATAGAAATAAAAAATTTCCTGATCGATATACACGCCGACAGCGGCAGTATTCTTTGACACGAGAAGCTCGTTTTCCTTAACAACAAATAACGATATATAAAAAGTAGCCTAATAACCAAATAAAAGTATAATAGATGGAGTGCTACATTAGCTGCTGCATGCTTGGCAGTATAATTATAAAAAACGTGAGAATGTAATAATATGTTGTAATGATATAATAAGCAGACTATGTAATGTATTTCAAAAAAGAAAAGAAACGGAAAATATAAGTAGCGAGATGTTGGTTTAAAAGTATAATGTCAAAAGAATTTATAACGTATGCTTATAGTAAATTTGTGTACGTTACCTGGGGTTGCGAGGAATAACAACAAGAATACATTGCAAACTGAGGTGAGCGCAAGTAAGCAGGTCACAGCCTCGCGGATATAGCCGACTAATGGACCCACGCACATGCCCATACCGGGAGCACTGTGTCCATAATAGATGCTAGTGCAATGGTGTTGCCATCACCTGGAACAAACGCAGAGAAAAGTTAGTTTGGAGAATCACTTGCAAAAAAATTCGGCAGAGTTGGAGGGCGGGGAGGCGGAGCCGCGGACTCCGCAAGGAATGGCGCCCGCTTTGATCTGCCCGCAGAGAATTATATACGTTTGTGTAAAATTATTTTGCAAAAATGCCGAAAGCCACTACTTGATTCCTGCAAGTGTATCTATGCTAAGGAGGCGCGCAACTAGTTTGGATTTTACTGCTCCTCTTACATCCCGTCACTAAAGTCGTTAAACAAACAGCAGTTGCTGCAATTCCGCGAGAGAGTGAGAGACGCTTTCAGCAGATAATTTCAATTGCTTCCTCTGCTGTTGCTGTTGGAGACAGTGTAGTGCACGCAATAAAAATGAATCTCCCTGGCATCGATTCGGCGGGCGACGGACGGGCAGCGCAAATTACACACGTAGGCGGCGGTGGCGAGGACTCTTCGCAACGAACGCCATATAATTTTAGCTAATTATCCGGGTGGAAAAGCGCCGTTTTTATCTCCGCCCCGATTCGCGGGTTTCGGGTATTTACAGTTCTGATTAAGACTTTGCTCGTTACTGCGGAAAGCAGGCAGGCAGGGGTGGCTGACGCACGTTAAAATAGAAAGTCATTAAGGGCTGGCAAGTGGTGGCTGCCGTGCAGCAGCAGCAGCAGCTAATTGTCATTTGCCGCGAGTTTACGACGACGTTGACGCACTCGGGCCGACCTTCCAGCGTTCGTTACGCGCTAAACCGTTCGTGCGTCGGTTTGTATAATCTAAAAATATGCAGCATATTCTTTCGAGCTGCTGCTGGGGCGGCTGACCCAAATCCGCTTATGCACCGCACCGAGTGAATATTTCGGAGGGAAACAAACCTGGCAAGCATCGTAGAGGAGAGAAATGTGGGTTAGCAGGTGGGACGTCCCGAATCACAAGAGCACTGCTGGAAAAATTGTCGCGGTGTCGAGCACTGCATTTGAGTCCGTGCTGGGCGCGCCAGCGGATTGGCGCTTATGCAAATCCGTGGGGCGGTTGGGCGAGGGTGTGGTTCTTGGGCGTTGCGTCTCAGTTGGCGGCCGGGCCAACTCGAGGGGCTCGACGACCCCCGGCCGGGGGCTGCTCGCTGGGTGGAGACGGTGCGGCTGCGAGCGAGCGAGGCGCGGGCGACGCAACACGGACACACACACTCACTCACACAGAGCCGAGGAGAGAGAATGGCAAAGCGGCCTGCCAGGGTGAGCTCCGCGAGTATTGATCCGGCACCAACCAACGCAAGCTCTACTACTAGCGCCCTGTCTGCCCTCAGATGCTATAGCTGCGGTTACTGGGGTGGGGCACCAGCGTTCGAGCCACTCAACGGAGACGTGCACCACTCGCTGGCTCTCTGGGCACAAACTGCCCCCCGAAGTCGAGTTTCGCGTTTTGATTTTGATCGCGGCGAGCACCAAGCATGCATGCACGACCGCCGTTGCAAGTGAGCGAGAAACGAACAGGCACGTGTGAGCCGCTTGCCGCGCGCGGCCGTAATGGGGACGAGGAGACGTTCAATGAGGGGTCGACTAAGGAAATGGATTTTTTTAAATGAATTATTCTCAGGCATCTCATAAACGTAACGAGCAGAAGAACCGCTTGTCATGAATGGTCAATAAAATTCCAAATTTAGCGAGTGATTTTGAATAGTAAAAAAAAAATAGCAAGGATTTTTACTTTTATTTATAAATATGAATACTGTTTCTGGGGTTTGTTTTAAAGCAATTAATTCAGAATTTATAAATTGAAAGAAAAAAATTTGCTGGTAATAAAAAAAAATGGAAAAAAGTTTAATTAAAATCCAATGCACGGAATAATCAAACAGTTAAGAAATAAACTGTTGGACCCTAAAATTTAGATGAACACCACGATTTGGAAAAAAATTACCGTTAGAATAAGAAATTTGAATAATTTAAATAAAAGTAATATGTAATTAAATTTTTTCTAATATTTTGTTCCACATAAATAATGAAGCCAAAACTTCCAATATAGAATATCAATATACATAATTTTGGCCACCTGCCTGCACATGAACAAAATATTTAAATGATCAGATTGCGCCACGCCACATTTTTGTTTTAAAATTTACATTTTTAGATAACACACTACTTGTGACATTTCATTCCCGGTTTAAATAAATTACGTGTTTCACTGTGAAGTGGGCGATCACCTATTTTCGCTAGGGGTTGACGCTCAGGGGTCGAGAGGGCGGTGCTCACTGAGAGAGAGAGAGCTTGCCTTTTCCACTGTTGACATATAAGATGACACGACTCAGTACAATAGGTCAATTTTTCATAGAGCGCGCGGGGCAAAAACTCGCGGGCGCTGCATGTTGACAATGGGGCTGAGCCGCCAGAAAGTCATTTGCTTTAATAAAAATCGTGCGCCGTAACCTTTTACCCAGCGAGAGAGCGAGCGAGCGAGCGCCGCCGTCTCCTTTTTTTAAAAATTTAATCAAAAGGGGTTGGTGCCACATCAAGATGCGAAGAGAAAAAGGCACTGCGCCGTCATGTTGCTGTCTCACTCATTCTGCAATCTCCTTGCCTTTGGCTCCGGCAAACACTAAAAAAAAAGGAAAAGCGCGCCTGCTGCCATACGCCGAGGCATGGAAAATTATTATTCGCTTCAATCAATGATTCCGAGCGGCACGCAAAAAGCGAATTCCAATAGGCCGCCCTTTTATTAAAACTGTTTGCCGGCATGAAACAATCCGTCGGGTGGCGCGTGAAGCAAGTCTGCGCCTCCGCCACCGCTGCTGCTGGGTGTTTAATGATTTTTAGCGTGTATGAATATTTAAACGGCGCTCATGAATATACGCAAAACGCGAGCCGGCCCATTATTGATGCGCCTGTCGGAGGTGCGTGGGCATTTGTAATCGGCGCACCCGCAATTCGCGCTTTTACTGCGCCAGGCTGGTAATTACAGGCACTGTCCGCGACACTCTTGCACAGTCAAGTGCGCGCTGGCTGGCTCAACCCGAATGATATAGTGGCTCTTCATTACAAAACGCGCCTCGTTGACATATTGCGAACCTCGATTCGGCGAATCCTCTCTCGCTGTGTCTCTCTGGTGGGTGGATGGTCGGCCCGAGCGGGTGCGACGTACATTTACACGTCTAGGAGATTAATACATCCCATCACGAGTCGGACCAACTGAAATGGGGGCTTCACACTATTTGCCAGCATCTATAACTTCGGAATTCTGAAAAATAAAAAAAAAAATTAAATAAAAAATCGTTACTTTGAAAAAAAGAAAATTTTAAAAGACTGATTTTTGTACTAGTTCTTGTCAAAATGATTTCACAGCTCATGAAATACGCGGTTATGAGTTTCAGTGAGTTGTTCACTGGCACTGTGTGCCTATTTTTCTCTTAACCAATTTTTTTTTTCACAATTGATTGTCTGACTTGTTTAGAGAAAAATTGAATTGAATTATGGCCGAAACATGTAGAGCAGGATATTTTTTTCCTTGAACAAAAAATAACTCACAAAAACCATCGAGGATAAGCAAACTTTAAATTCAAATCACCATGAACCAACCCTCTAACCTGAAATTCTACTACAAAAAGAATTCTTTATTTCTTTTTTTATCAAATTTAATCAGGTGAATTGTGTTAGAATTTAGAAAGAGAAAAATCGAATGAAGCATAATCAAGGATCAGAAATGTCTTTTATTAATGAAAATAAATTTCTCACAGTTTATAAGGAAAAAATTCCTGCTGTATTTAAAATTGTCTATATAGATTTAAATATAATTGCAATGCAATTTTCAGTAAAATAATGGGTATTTTTTATGGTAACCAAACACGTTCCTTGCAATTAAGCGATTTGATCTCTCCAGTAATGAATATTGGCAGACTTTTGTTCATTTGTGGCCCGCACTGCAGGGGGTCTTGGTCACGTCCTCGCGTCGCGGACGTGTAATGCAACATGACGTCGCACATATCATAACTATATCATCGCCATTTGATACGCTGTCGGCTGCAAATAGCGAGCCAGAATGGAATTCATTTACCGCCGCCATACATCCCGGGGGTATTCAAAATTTATTGCCACAGTCGCCGCGACAAAGAGATGCAATCAATCGCGCGCGCCCACTTCTGCGGAGCCCGATTTCGCAAACAAGGACGACTCACTCGCCGGCAGCGGACAGGGAGAAAGGGGTGGATTGAAATGATTCGCGGGCCAGGCACGCGCCCGCTCGCTGCTCCTGCCAGACTAAACTCATTTGCTCGCAATATCTTCATGCTCAAAAATCAATGGCGGCCATTTCCTTACACCGAATCCAATTATTGTTCCATGAATAAGCAGAGTTGTGCAACTACAGAGACCTCGCCTCTCGCAGCCTCGATTTTCCCACTCAATAAACTCTGGCGGAGCAGTTTGTTTTGCTTGCGAAATTAGAATTTTCCGAGAGCGGCCGTTCTTTTCTTTCTTTCTATAGGGGGAATTTCATTTTGCATGCCATAAATAAATTGTTCTCTGCACGGCGACGGCGTTCACTTATTTCCGTCAAACAGAAGCGCACTCGAAAGGAGGAATTCTAATTTTGTTTCGCGCTTTAAAAAAAAAGGAGAAAAGACACGGACTGCCGTCTTGACGCCTCTTTTTAATATCAAAGAACTCGACAGACGGAAGAATGAAAGAAATGGCGTGCGAAAGGAAAACGAAAGTTGCTTTTCGTCACCACCGAAAATCTTAACTCGAGGCCATTAAGGCGACGATATAAATAGGGGGGAGCGCGATCATCATGCAAATTGTCGCCCGCTATTTGCAGAATACTTATGAGATTTAATCCATCAAAGAGGAAAAGCGGCTCGGCGGAGGAAAATCAACTCCATCTTCGAAACACTCTTGTTTTCCCACTCAAATCCGGCTGCCATGACGGGCGGGCGAAAGCTTTTTGCCGGTACTGCAGCAGAGCAAAATGTCTCCGGGGCTGCCAAAATTAAGGCAATTTCCGCGCAGCAGCCGGCAAATATGGCGAATCACAGATATCCATATTCCAGGCACATCAAGCCGGCCCGATGTAATCCACGTTGATGAGCGCGCGCTCGAATTATGTATTCAGCAGCAAGGGCGGCCGGGCAGACCGAGAGGGCATGTAAATGCCTCCTTTTTCCCAACAACATCTCATCATTTACATTTGCAGTCGAGATAACCTCCAGTCTGTTTTTACTGCAATTTAACCGGCACCGTGCACCTGCTCTTCTTTCCGACCGGAGACAAGAGGGCGCAAAGACGACATGATGGAAATGAGAAAGAATTAGTTGGAAAAAGAAGAACAAATTTTTATAGAAAGAATTGCAGATACGAAGAGCAAAAAATTGCTAACAATGATTTTTATTGAATTTTTTTACGCAAGTCTCCAATATTTTATATAAAAGTTAAATAAATTGAGAAAACTGAGCTTAAAAAAACTCGGATATCGAAACAAGCACAAAAAATATTGGATATTCAAAAGTTTCTCAACTTTCAAAAGCTTTTCAAACAATTCTCAACAGCTCACAGTTTTAAGATTAAAAACCTCTTGAAAAGAAGCCGAATAATGTTTTAAGCTTTTGCAAAAATTTACATAAAATTTCCAACGCAATTCGGCGATCCAGAGAGGAGGTTTCGCGGCGTAGCGGGAGAAATTCGCTGCATATACACACAAAGTGCGCTTGTAAATTATTCATCCTGATTTACTTACTCCGGTGTGAGGCGCCGCGCCGACACCGTGACGCTGATATAATAAGCGCGCGCTCGCGACTAAATTAAAAGACATCAATATCGCGCGCTGAGCATCGCACGCATAATGCCATAATGCATTGCTCTGTGAGTGTAAGCCACTTGGCGGCGAAGGCGTTTTCCAAACAAACTCACCGCGACTGCAGGCGAAAATTCACTTGCGCTAATCCCGGCTGTGCGAGAGGGAAATTAGATGCCGAAACGCTAAGTAATTGAAATTCAAAAGTAGGCACCTCGGAATCTTAGCCATTAATCACTCGGCGGGTAGCAGGCAGGAAAGGGGTGAGGTAAGTGAACCGACACACGGAAGCTCTTACGGGTTTCGTCTTCGACATGCAATTTTATGAGATGATAAAATCCACAATTAAAAATTAGTGGCTTTTATTAGCGCGTGTGGAGGCGTCGTAAAAAAAGTTGAGAAAAAAAGCAATAAAACGCTCAGGTGATACTCGCATATAATTTCCTTTGTATCACCAACGGAAAAAGTGGGTCCTCGTAAAAAAAACTTTGTTGGCAAAGGTGCAATTTATTATTTGGCAAAAAGTCGGGTATGCAACGCGCTGCGCACACATGTTTGGCGGGTAGTCTAAATTGGCGCGCGACGAGCGCCTAAAGTGGGGGGCGGCCAGGGTCATAAAAGATGCAATTTCTCAATTGAAAAGGAGTAAAAAATTGTCCGCAATAAAAGAGGGGCGCGAAACAAATCAATTGACACCTAAAGGGATTTCTCGGCAACGCGCCGAAAGAGTTATTGGGGCGAACGGCGCAATAAATTACCAGGGCGGCGGCGTTTGTGCTGCAGCTTTTCGCGCCAAAGCTATTGGCAAATAGCTTATTAAGCGTCTTTTGAGTAGAGGAAAAAACGCGGCGGGTCGTTCGTTCCGTGCTAATAA